TCCTGTAAGAGGATCACCTACTATCTTTCCTGTAGTATTTTTTCCCAACTTTCATGTGGATTTCTTCCCAAACTGAGACAATGTGTATCAGTGCCATCTGTTGACTCCAAGTAATATTGCTCCATTGCTTTAATAGCGATGGGAAAGAACATTTGATGATACAAATTTGTGCAGAATGCAAAAGCAGGGATGAAATAAAAATTACATGGAATGTATATATAAAGGTACAGGAGAAATTTGTGCAGCAGGAAAACAAAAGAAGTCTTTCAATAAGAGATGCTTCTTGGTGTAAATTAAAATAAGTTTTGCATAATTAATGTGTTTTTACGGATTATCTGGCAATCAAGTCCCCAATATAATGGCACAAGAAACTAACAGCAAGTACATGTCAGGTGCCAAGGCATTTTCCTGCTCTCCAAAACCAATTAAATATTTATGCCTAAGTGCTCACTAAATCTGGGCTAAGATGTTTTACTTCTCCTAGGATCAATCTTACTAGAGGTAATAGTTTCAATTGTTAAGTTCCTTCAGAAGAAATTCAGAGCCCAGTAAACAACAACCAAAGTAATTCTGACTTTCCATAAAATCTCCTGAAATGTGAGATCTGAACAGAGCTAAGGGTATCTCTCTGAAATATGCACAAAGGAGAAAGCAAATTCTACTTTTTAAATTACTGTATATTTTTTCTCTATTTTTAGAGCTTTTCGCACTTGTTTGTGTGGCTAGAAAACATCTAAAGTGTCATTAAAACAAAAGGAAGATAGGACTAATCTATCTCCAGTATGTCCTTAGATGCCTTTATGTCCAATCTAGTTTGCAAGTTAGTATATTGTAGGGAACAAACCAAAAACAGTGGGTAAATTGGGGTATTAAGAATGGAATGAGTCATTACGCTGAACAGTTAGAGATTTGAATGAAACTTTCAAAGAAATAAATACAGCCACTTTTAAATTGTCCTCTCCCAGGCTACATTTTGACTATGTAAGCACACTGTACAGTACTGTTATTGGTTAAAAGGGATAGAAAATTTCTAACAGGACATTGAAATAGAAGGTTCATAACAAAAATAAACTCTAGCATTCCCAAGCACTGCCAAAAAAAAAAAAAAAAGAAAAGAAAAAAAAGAAAGAGAGAGGAAAAAGGAAAGCAGTGCTTTGCTTTTTTGACTAGGAAGAAATATGGAAAAAAAGTGCAGCAAAGTCTAGAAAAAGAATGTCCTGAGAAGTGGGACTGACAATGAGCTTTTGACTGACTGCCCAGAGCTGTGACTCTGTCTTTTCTGTTGCTTGGCAACCCCATGTTATCACAAAGAAACTGACATTAAGTTGGAACAGACTGGATATGGTAATTTACGTGGGAAGATACTCTTGCAGTGGGAAAACCATTTTATTTCTAGTTTCTGTCAGCGTAAGTAGGTTTCACGTGATGAACTGTGGTACATCCCCTGTTGGGTGCATTTTACCTAAAAAGGTAAAGAGTGACTCTGCCTTGGAAAAAGGCTGTGCAGAAAAAAACCCCAAAACCAACAGAACCCCCCACCTTGTTATTCATTAGACCTGCTCCTAGTGTCTACTCAGACATTTCTTCTAGTGGTAGTGACAAACGCTTGTTTTCATATCTGTCTGGATTCAGTGCAGATTGGAGAGATGGAACTCGATCATTATAATTTATACTATTACATTCCCTAAGAACTCTTGAGATTTGCCTAAGACTTCACTGTCTTATATAAACATTAAAAGATGATCCTCACTTTATCTAATAGTCTTTTCTTTTGCATTGGCAGTAGTTAAGTACTCAATTTCAATTGCACTTTATTTTTGATTTGTTGAAAGAGGAGGCTGCATGTGCAGCAGTTATAGAATAACTTGAAGACTGTGATGGAAGTAATGGCAAGAGTATGTATGTAGAGCAAATATTTTTGTGAAAGCTTTGAGCCGTAAGGGATCTGTAATCCATAATGATGTTTTTTGTGTTTAGGTTTAGGTCTAAGGTTTAATTAGAAAAAGAGAAAGCATAGATTACTTAGGATTTAATGCACAGCCCTTTTTTCTTAAATGTCTGGCTTATTTATACTGAACCATCACCACTGTCTCTCTGCATTTCCATCCTGCATCATTTCTAGTAAATTAACACCATCGTGCAGTCCTACAAGTAAGGAAGCACTTCACATGTCTTCAGGACTCCTTGTTCTGGCTTTGGTCAGCAAAACACTTCCTGGCTCCAGGCTTCTCTCTATTGCAGAGTTAACTTGAAATATAACTCAGCTTTGCCCTTGGCTCAAATCCCAACCATACACAAAAACTTCTGACTTGAGTATGTTGATGCTGTTCAGCTGAAGGGATTGGCCTGGACTGTCAGGCACAGGCAGCAGCTTCAATTAGCATAGCTAATACAGCTACTCGCTCCTGCTTCAAGGACTTGTCTTCATTGCCAAAAAAGGTGTATTTTTACTGTGGGATAATTAGCCTGATTTAACTATCCTTATTTAAAATCAAGGCCTCCACGTCTTTTCTTACAGTGAAGACAATGTTCCCTATTAACTCAGAGTGTCCCCTTTTGCTGATATTAGGTTAACTGAAGAGGAATTAATTCTGCAATGAAAAGAGCCCACAATGTCTTAGACATCAAAAAGACCCAGAGACTGCAAGCAAAGTCCTTCTCTGTACTGAGTCATGGTGGGGAGGTAGCTTCCTTGTTCACTTTTCATTTGGCCAGATACAAAATGTATCAGCTTGTATCCTATCTACAAAATTAATGAGATTGTCTCCTTTTTAATTTACAACATCACCTCCAATAAATCCAAAAATGCTCTGGGCTGTTACCTGACTTGGAGGGAAATAATTGTTGTACTGACTCAAGCAGCGAGCCTGGCTTAATTAAAACACAGTGTATTTCCCAATAAGGTTGTGACCAATTTTATTCTGACTGCAACCTAAAACAACTTTACAACAGAATGGAATAGATGAACTTTTCTTTACCTTGAAGCTTTCAATACTTTTAAACTGAATTCCCCTGCTAAATCATGGAGAGCTGATTTCTTACACCCCCTTACCACTATGCAGTTAGTGACTAACTCTACTCACTGTAACTATTGTCTTCCAAGCTAACTGCTGACAAATACCATCTGTTTCTTGAGCCCTGGCATTAGAGTAACACAGAGCTTGCAGGCAGTCTTCCACACCTTGTGTTCATTGCATTAGCTCATGCCTGCTGTAGAGTGTTTTCTATGCAAAGTAGCAGCAACCTCTGGCTTGTGGGCCGTGCTAGACTAAGGGCAGCAAAACTGTAACACCTCCTCTGTGTGGCAAAAAAATACCTCTACACTTTCTGTCATCTGGGGTTGGGTTTGGTTTTATTTTAGTGTTCTTTGGAGAGCTTGGTCACTATGACCTTTATTAAGAAAAAACATACAAACTGCTTCCTATAGCATCTGTATTTTCTGTGTGCAGTGCTCCTCACCAGTGAGGAAAATTTGCTGATTTTTTTTTTTTTTTAATTCTTGAGTTCTGATGAAAAAGGAAAAAATAAGCGTGCAAATGCAAGGAGTGGTTAGGAGTAAACAGCCAGCACCTTTCAGGAGTACACTGACCACAGGAGGGAGCAAAGCTCTGGGGAGAAATGCTGTGGGCACAAACCAAGGCAAGGGATTCTCCCATTACAGCCAAGAGGAGCTCTCCAAGAGAAATGCTGGGAGCCAAGAGGAGTTCCCAGAACGGGGAAATTCCCATCTTGCCCACCATGGCTTTTAGCACCTGCAATTAGTTTCATCAAATCATAGTCTCAGAGAGTGTCTAAAGGACCATGGGAGTAAGAAAAGGAGTTTAAACATCTTTGTTCCCAGCACTACCCAAGTGTCCCATATAAGACTAGATGACTTGGTGGGTGAGATATATAGCTTTTTTATTTCATATCTGTCTTATCTTTTATTTTTATTTTGGTTTGTGATGACTGTAGGACTGAATTCCATTAAAAATTAAACCAGAATCAGAAGCACTATTATTGGCTCATGTTAATGTTATGAAGTTAACTCTCTCAAGTAGTTTCTATAGTTACAGCTGCTTGTTGTTTTGCAAGGATTGGTACAGAAATGAACTGGAAAGCAAATTAAAATAAGAAATAGTAAGAGTAAGTTAACCTTGGTTTTGTTTGTGGTAGTGTTATCAACTCTGAAAATACATTTTTCCTGCACCAAGGTGCAGGAGACAGAAGAACCACAGAACCACAGAAGCTGTAGGTGAATAAACAGACATATTAAACCAAGGTACAAAAGTGGTTTTTTTTGTGCCTAGAATTCAAAATTAATTTACAGGCTGGAGAGCCAAGAGGTATGGAGTTAGGAAGGTAGTAGACTTGAATTTTAGGTACTAAAATACCAGTAAATCAAAAGACGACAAAGTATTCAAATCTTCTAAATGTAGAAAAAACCAACACCCCACAAACAAAAATATCAGCAGAAACCTTTGCCCCCTCCAAGAACATTGAGTATGACTCATGGTTTTGTGAATTTTGATGGGTGGAGGTACAAAAACTGTTCTATCCACTACTGACAGATGGTAGGATTCTTGGTTTTAAAAATATGAAAACAGCTTGATCTCATGTACCTTGGTTTAAAAATAAAGCTTTTTTTATAGCATGTCTCAATTTTGACAACCGCACTGAGCCATAAATATTCAATTCCATGTATAAGCACATTTTAAAAGCCTAAACTAGACTCTTATTTTAGAGGTAGGCTGGTCCTCTGAGTTTGTGAAGTCCTCAGGAAAAGGAGTCACAGCTGAACATAATGGCTCTTTGTGTTTAACTCCAAAGTTTGAGTTGTTCGTGGGTTCATCTTTGAATTTAAAAATCCATTTCCTTGTTTGGTAACTTTCTTAAATTTATTTCAAAAATGTGGGAATACCAAATTATCCATCTTTTTGTGATGGTAAGCCTAGAATAAATCTGCAGAAGTGAAATGCAATTGAATCTGCAAGTAACATGATTTCTTCTTAATGTTGCAGAGCACAGATAACTCAAATATATCTATAATTGCTCAAAACAAAAAGTGCTTTGACAATGATATCGTTTGCTCAAAGAATGTTTTCATCACTGTTGGAGACACTGAGATTTATTTTAGTGAACCTTCTGAGAAGCAGGTTAGTTAATTTCTTTCCTTTTTGGGTTGCCCTTTAAGATAAGCATTGCAAATTTACAGCTCTAAAGGAGCATGTTTTTGGAAAGCGTCTCTCAGTCTGAGTTAGTATAATACAAGTGCCTAGGCCCAAATAAAGCAGCAGGTCCCAGGACACATCTTTTTTTTTCATTGCTTTTTTCAAGTTCTACCTGTCCTACAAAGAAGACTGCTCAAAAGTCTCAAGGAGTTGAAACATACTGGCATTTATGAGTTTCTTTCCACTTGGTTTTGAAAGAGAAACCAAAGTAAAAAATCAAAGCAAACTTGAAAAATTGAAAAGACAAAATATCAAAGTATTAAAAAACATTTCTAGTAATATTGATTCACCTATATGCTAAAGATCAAGTATTCTTCAATATACGCTTTGTAGATAACTGGCTGTATACCTTGGTAGAATTACTTTATTAGATCTTAATTAATAATCATTTCTGTCAGAAGACCTTAAGGGGACAGGAAAACAAATCTAAATATCAGCTTTGGAAGGCTGGATATTATACCGTGATACACTTTCCAGAACAGGACATTACAATTCTGTGGGATAAGAAGACTATGATGCATGTTAAAGTTGGACCTCAGTGGAAGGTGAGCCAAAATAAAAACCTGAGATTTTGTGTAGCTTCTCTATATCACTAATGTGATCTCTTATTGAATAATTGTGATTGTCTTTTCTTCAAGACTAGCTTTCCCAGTGATATAGCTGTTTATCATGGTGTTCAGCTGCTAGCATTTCCCAGGTAAGAAGAGATGGAGAACGTGGCTTCTGAAGAGAAACAGTGGTTCCTACATGCACGTTTACTCTGTTGCTCCATATGTTGCAACCTTGGAGACAAGCAGGGATTCAACTCTGACTCAAAGATACTTTGGGGGCTGGAAGGAAGAGTTAGTTTTGAGTTACCCAGTTCACTGCATGTTTTCTTAATTCCATATCTAGTGAGGGGGAAGACGGCAGGTTTATAGCACAGATTGGATTAGATTGATGATGGAACTGCACCCTGAGATGTAATAGAGGCTTCTGAGATGAAGAGATGTAGTCATATCTTGGGTTTAATTTAAGAAGACAAGACACAGGAAAGGATTTTGACAAAAACTGACATTTAAACCTAACGGGTATATTGAGACAGGGTTCAGCCATGATTCAGGGAAGAATACGAGGCTCCGTCTCTTGCCAGTTGCTCTTCTCTTTTCCATTCCTACATCATCATCTATCTTGGTGTCTCTGTAACTCAGTTTTTGGGTCCTGGCAGAATAACCTTATATGTGCATTTCAGAATTACATTTCTGTTTTGTTTCAAACATGAACACATGTATCAAGATGGGGCTCTTTCAGCAAAACAAAAGAAAGCATGCTATGCTAGAGTACAGTATCAGATTTTTCAAAGTGTAAGTCAAAGCTATAATGACCATCTAATGTGGTATTAAAGCAAAATTATTATAGGCTTTTGTCAAAATAGCCATAAAATACTTACTTCACCTACAAGCTGATTCATCATCAATAAATACACAGAGTGAAAAGAAAAAAAAATCTCCTGTTTTTCAGTAAGCTAGCAGTGAGTTCTACAGGTTGCATGCAGGAACACGAATAATTCCAGCTTTTTCTGTTTCCAGCGACTGTTTCTTCCAGAAGCTGCAGTTTAGTTAGATAATGTCTGCAGCAGACCTTAAGAAAAAGGAATTTATTAGCAGGAGCCACAGCACTTTAGAAATCCAACTCTACTTTTTACTGTTGCGCAGAAATTTCTATTTTCCTATATATTTATATATGCATGCATGTATATATACTTTTTCCATCAACAGCACATGCCCAACACCAGAAATCTGCAGCTGTCTCTTTTATAACTGTTACTACAAATATGCTTGCTATTGTGAGCTAAAATTAGAAGCAGCAAGTTTTAATGACAATAACTAGTCAGACTTCACAATCATGAGGTAATTCACCTGAACTTTTGACTTTTGCACTGGGTGCACTACTAAGCTTTCAGAAGAATTATTACTAGATTCCAGTCCATTTTCACAGGCAGACAGTAAGAACAGGTTCTGGAAAACAAGAAGAAATCCACTGATTTCTCTTAATAAGATATTTGCAATATGGAACCGTAAGAATAGCAGAGTGTCAGATATTTTTAAAGTATAAGTCAGAGTTGCATTCAGCTTTTTCAGTTAAAAAATACATTCCATGTGTGTAATTGTACCAATTATTGACTGTCAGTTTGTAAGAAAAAAAATTGTTCTTCTCTTCCAGGGTAAATTGGCAGGTTTGTGTGGAAATTTTGACAAATATACTTCAAATGATCTGACTACATCAAACAACATGGAGGTGAGAAATGCACAGGTGTTTGGAGACAGCTGGGTATTAGGACAGGTAAGTCCCGTGTCCAGTAAAACATTAGAGAAAGAGATGATAATTTTAATTTATAAATGAGCACGGTATAAGCAAATGATGCACAGATATTTTCTAAACTTACGGTCACTGCATAAGAGGGTATTTTAATTTTTATGTCTGTAGATGTGAAATGTGTTAAGGTCTTATGTTATAGCAAACACATACTGAATTTAAATGAAAGCAAAAAATCTCTTCAGGGAAGAATATGTTTTCCCCTATGTAAGACAATCATTATAGTTGTCTGGATTTCAGTTTTCTACAAAGTTAGGTACATTGCTTCTGTTATTTTTGATTCATCCCAGTTTTAGAAACAAATGTAATTTCTCTGGTGTTAGAGGCACCAGGATACTGAAAGTAAATTGAACCTGAATGATGGGAAAAAAGGTCTGGAAAAAAGTTTCTTTCTGAACACTGAAAAAAATGATTTAATTTAGTTGTGAACAGAAAATAAACTGACAAACCAGAGGTGATGAAGGGATGGGAGGAAAAGGCTCAGAACAGCAACAGGCACAGCCAGTACAGAAACTTGGTTTCTGAGGGGAAGAAAGGGAACTGTAGAGAGTGGATGATGCAACTGGGTTTTATAACACAGAAGAATAGGTATTTTTTTCATTTGTGCTGAAATGATGTAAAGTTTTATAACCTTGTGAACCTCCTGAAAAATCAGTATTTATAAAACACTCCTTTTGGATGTCTGTCAGAACCAGTTTTTAATTTATTGTCTCCTTGACACAGCAGGAAGATGAACAAATATCTCTTGCCTCATGAAAGAATGCTTTGGAATAATGATTTTGAGGCTCTTCTGCCTCCATATCTCCCTTTGAATGTGTTTTGTTCTACATAAAATGTTAAAATTGTGTGAGCAAGCAAGGCAAGTGTGTAGTGTTGGTATTTATATTGCTTGTCTAGAAGGTCGTAGATAAACAAATGTGTATGAAGTGTGCGAATTTTTCTTTGCCATTTTATCAGTTCAGTGGCTGCTTTAAAACAATGTGTAGTGTTTGCATAGCACATTAACTTCTAGCGTATTTATATATATATATGTATATATATATGTATTTGTTAAATTTTGTGTAATCTCCTGATCTCAGTGTCTGCCGGAGCACTTAGGATCTAAGTTCAGCCTGGGCCTCTCTGGTAGCCTCTGCTCAGATACTTCATCTGACCCTGCAGTAGGCCTCGGGGATTTTTTCAAAAAGGACCTTTGGCCTTTGTGGTGATGTATCCTGTACTGTAAAGGAGTATTCGATAGCTGGAGGCCTAGAAGCCAGTTCTATTACTGGCAATCATGCTTGCATTAGCGCTGTGAAGCCTGGGATGCTTTCAGGGCTTCTCCCTTCTGGGAGTGGCACCCCATCCCCTCACAGTCATGTCTGAGCAACTGCACAGGAGGGCAGTGTAGGTGGACAACTGCACTGCAGCTAAGGCTGCTTCGAGACACTCCAGTGATGCCTATGGATTCATCATTAGAAGCCCTCCTGGGCTTCTCTGCTGCACCAAGAGAGCATGGATGAACTCACATTCTCTGAGCTGAGTGTCATTTTGTTATATTTTTCTGTTCATTTGTTTTTCTTTTTGAAGAGAGACTTTAAGGGAGGGAGTTGTATCTCAGCCATTTTTGAGTTATCATGATGATCTTTGACTCTACTTTTTTTTTTTAATGGGTTGCTCCCTTCCTACTGCTGCTTCTTTATTTGAACTTACAGGGCTAAAGCCATCCGCAGTGTGACTCCATTTAAAGTCAGCACAAAACCACCCAGGATGGATTTGGACCATGTATTTGTTTGTGATGTTACAGTTGGTTACTCTGGTAATGATTATAATGTGTCACAAAGAAAACATTTTGTCTTGATGCACTGAGCAGACAGCAGGAACATTTTAGTACTTCAAAACAAAACACAAAGATTCTTTTTTTGTGAAAACGCTTTCAATTATAACAACAAATCAGGGAAAGAGGACGATGAAGAAGATAGTATTTAAACTTTTGTTTTCCGATTATGCAAGTATTGAATTATATGATACTACAGTGTATCTGAGTCTGTGATAAACACACCTAACTATAAAATATTTGTGGCGTTTTTGCTTGTTTTCAAGTGCAAGAGCCCAAATGAAACGCTGAGACCATGTGATGTACATCAGAGCAAGTTCCCTTATGCCAAAAAGGAATGCTCAGTTTTATACAGTGATGTTTTTGCACCTTGTCGCAATGTGGTAAGTTTATTAAATATCCAAGATATTCTGTCATGAAAATAATAAAATTACAGCAATTAATTTCTTCTTGCCATTCCCCTCAGTCTGAATGTCAGGGAGGATACAGAGCAAAGCCCTGCAAGTATCTCTTTGAGGGTGGGCTATGTTTGTGCAGAGCTCCTCATTCCTTTCAAGACTGGAGCCTATTTCATAATAGTGATAACTGGGAGTTGTGAGTTAGTAGACTGAATAGTGAAAGTCATGTTCTCTTTGATTTTATTCATTATCTCAAATGGTGTTATTTTGTTAATTATCCTGTTCAATATAGAAAGAAATTTGAGAAACCAAGATTTCAGCTTCAGAGCTGTTGATATTTTTAATTAGTGGACAGCTCATCATCTGCTTTTTATCAAAACTCTGAGGCTTGGTGTCCTTGTTTTCCCAATACCTGGCTGAGCCTGGAACTTGAGTTACAAGAACGTCCTTAGGTCAGTCTAGACAAGATGGGGGCAACAACAGCTTTTGTGGTAATCTTTTGTTCCATTTTAATCCACCTCTTATCAATGCAAAACATGCTTTATACATTTTTCCCTATTTTTGATTTTAGCTTCCCAAAGGTATTTAGGCACTTCTTTACACCTGGGCAAGCAAGAACCGCTATAACTTTTTGTCTCAGTCTCTTATTTTCTTTATGACTATTAACACTAAATGCTTAATATTAGATGTCGCAGCTGAACCTCCTGACTTTCAAAACTGAAGTTTGATATTAACATGGTTAGGCATTTGCCTGTGTAGGAGGTTGCAGTAGCTTAACCCAAGAGATTTATTAGTGTTGACTTAAGTTACTATGTAAAGAATTTTTTGAGCATGTGCCTGAGAACATAGTGATGAGTGTATTTTAGAAGTGACAAGTAATAAATAAAAATGGAACTTTTGAGAGTTTTTAAGAAGCTGTATTATCACAACTCATAAAGAAAGATGTTTTCTCTTGAATATTCATTTTCTATATCTTATCCATGTTGTGATGAAAATTTGAAAACATTACGCCAAAAATTTAGCATAATTATGTTAAAAAATATATGTCAGGTGCAAAACATAGTCAAGTATTTTCACACATACATATGTATCTTCTATGGTTCAGCCTGTAAAGCAAACATCTTTCATGTGTTTTTAAAACCTGTTTATTAGCATGTGAAAATACAGCTCCTGCAAATGTAATGTAAAGTGACCTCCTATCAAGGGCATCTGCAGAAGACTGCTAGCTACAGGGGTGGAGAACTGGGTGCCAAGGAAAAAGCCCCAGCAGAGACTGACACTGGGGGCATGGAAAGGATGGAAAACATAGATGTGGGTTTCAGACGTGCTTGGAGCAGCACTATTACTGTTGCTCCTGCTCTGCGGCTGATGGCGGATCCTGCCGTGCATGGAGGGAAGCTCCTGCCTGTGGGACACGTGGCCTCAGAGTTCAACTCAGGCTGGAAAACCCAGTTTTCAGGGAGACAAAAATCTTGCATTTCTGGCTGGCAGCAACTGATGGATTGCAGTTGCCCAGTTAAGCACTGAATTCAGCAGAATCTAAGAAGCCTCAACACTTGCAGAAAAAAAGGTCTTCCTCATGATTCCTAAGCTCATTAAGAACTTTGACCTAAGGCTCCCAGTTTGTCACAACAGCAGGATATTTCTGACCCATGGAGAGATGCTGTCCTGCAGGCACGAGAGACAGGTTGAGGTCTTTGAAGCCAATCTGCTGTTTAGTGATTCCTGCATAACTACTGCAGTTGTTTTCAGTGGAACTAATGCTCGTGTGTGTTCTCCGTGTTCTCAGTGGTATCCCTGTTTTCAAAATAAGAAAAAGAATGAAAGCAAAATGGCATCACTCTCTACTGAAGGCAGAAAGTCAATCTTGATCGAGCCCCTGACAGCTTCTAGCAGCTGCCAGCTGAGAAGCTGCCTCTGTGTTAGATAAGTGCTGCTTTGTTGCTGTGATGGTATTTCTGTAATCTGACGTGTGCCATTTGAGTGCTTTACAGCTGAGCTAGACCAGAGACTAAACTGAAGAAAAGCGTTGCTTTAAACATTTCATGTGTTGAGTAAGAACGCTGTTTTGGAAACATTGCTCAACATTACAAAAATGATGATTTAAACTTAGGGAACAATGTATCATGTAAAACCATGAAATAATGTTATAGTATTTTAGAATGAGGATATGGATTTCTGATCTAATGAAGTTTTGGGGGCAAATTATATTAAAATCTTGATAAGTGCAGAAGTATTTTTTTGCAAAATGTCACCAGTGTGCTTAAGCTTTCTTTCTCTGGGCAAAACCCTCTCTACAAATTATTACTTTAATTACTTGGTAATCATAGCCGTAGCTGTGACTTTGTTATTTTTCATGCAAAAGTGACAGGATGACTATAGATGGCAGTATTTGCCATATAAAAAAAAGCAGAACATCCGTCTTCAATATACTGTCCAAAATTGATGAACAGCAGGTGTGTGTAGAGACAAGTTTGTTGGCAGTCACTGGCTGAAATTTTCTTTTAACATGTAACATAGGTATAAGCTGATCATTTAAACTGTACTTTCTGTGTAGGAATATGCCCAAACTTTGGAAAATAACTTATTTTTTTGTTTAATTCTTTCAGTCAATCCAGAAGTATAACTCCTGCTGAAAATGCTACAACAAAAATTCAAACAGCTCATGCATTTAAATAACCTCTTTTTCTCTTCCTTTTTTTATCCCCCTACAGATTGATGTGACTTCTTTTATCAAAAATTGTCACACAGATACATGCAACTGCAATCTTGGTGGAGACTGCGAGTGTTTGTGTACCAGTATTGCAGCTTATGCCCACAAGTGCTGCCAGCAGGGAGCAGCAATCCACTGGCGATCTCCTTTGCTCTGTGGTGGGTATCTGGGCTGACCATGCACCAGAGCTCATCTCTGAGGCCTTTGGCCTTTTTGCTGCCCAATTAGACAAATATGACAGAAGTAGGTGGATAATAAACGTACTTCACATTTTTCAGGCTGTCTGCGTGTTAGCTGTGCTAGCCTTATACACCCTGCTGTCTTACTGAAGAGGGGTGACTGTGCTCAGGGTGTGCTAGTGCAGAGACTACTGGAAAGGCACCTTTGTAACAGATCTGGGGTACATCCAGTGCTCCGTGTAGGGCTGCAAACAGATCCAGTCCATTCTTCTTTTCATTGACATCAAGAAGAGTTCTTAGCTATAGAATATTTCATGCTTCAGGTCTGCTGTCCCGGCACATCTACTGAAATACTGCTGTATGTCATTGAACAAAAGCCTAAGGAAATAAAATCCCTGGCTGAAATATCTTGTGGAAGATGAAACTTCCGCTGCTGAAAGTGAAATTTACATTTTTTAGGATGCAAATATGCATGGATTCTCTTGCTACTTTGTAAGAATAATGTACCTTTTTTCTTTTTCTTTTAGCTTATGACTGTGAATATTACAATCAAGGTATGTAGTATTTGATATTCCTGCCTTAAAAACTCGGTTGAATTAATTTATGGGCTTTCTCTTGGACTTGATGTATGTAGTTTTAACATTACTTCTATTTTTAATGAGTAAAGGTCAGTGGCCCAGCTGTGTTGAATGATCTTAGTAATCCTTAATACCTCAAATAATAACCTCATAATGTTCAATGTGTGGGTGGATTAATCCACCATATAGCATATTACTGAAGTCAGGGAGAAGCTCTAGAAGGATGTTAGCTTATGCTTGTACTGTAAATTTCAGAACTGGGACCTACAATATTTTGAAATTGATATGTTTTGGGATGTATGCGTGAGTCTCACAACTACTGTACTCTAAAAAGAACAGTACCTTAGAATGAGAGTGGTACTGATTTAATAAAATAAACTCCTGTGTCATCCCCTCTAATATTTGGATACTGTGCACGTGTTTTGTAGGGAGCAAGATGTTGAAAGGAAAGGGAAACTTGACTAAATGCAATGATATGAATGTGAATTTTAATTTATCTTTTTTTAGCAACTTACATCCTATAATGAGCATCATATAGAGATGATTCGTTTCTCCTCCTGGCTGCCCCAGTAGAGTAGTAGCATGTAGATTTTCCTAGGTATAACTGAATTTCCACAATTACTTTGTAGCAGGGAATTTTACCTTACTCAAAAATGTTTGAGGACATGGTTTAATGGTGAACATCATGGTAGGAGTAGGTTGACAGTTGGACTTAATGATCTTAAAGGTCTTTTCCAACCTAAACAATTCTACAGTTCTGTGAAAAAGTAGGAAGGAGTACTGGTTTTGGCTTGGATAGAGCTAACTTTCTTTATATAGTTAATATGATGATATATTTTGTATTCATGATGAAAATGGTGTTTTAGTTACTGCTTACACAGTATCAAGGCTTTTGCTGCTTCTCATGCTGCTTCTCATGCAGGCTGGGGATGCACAAGAAGTTGGAGGCGACACAGGTGGGACAGCTGACCCTAACTGATGAAAGGGATGTTGCAGAACATATAATGTTGTGCTCAGCAATAAAAACTGTGAGGGAAGTTTTCTGGATGTAGTGGGTTGATCTCGGCTGGATGCCAAGGTTCCCACCCAGCAACTCTATCACTCCCCTTCCCAGCCGGACAAGGGAGAGAGTAAGGTGGAAAAACAACTCATGGGTTGGGATAAGGCAGTTTCTTTAAAGCAAAAGCAAAGTGGAATCTTGTGTACACAAAAGTGAAGTGAAGTGAAGTGAAGTGAAAGACAGCTGGGTTTATTCTCTGCTTCCCATGAGCAGCGATGGTTGGCCATTCCCAAGAAGCAGGGCTTCAGTACGCATAATGGTTCCTCAGCAGGCAGCTGTGGGAGATAATGAATCCCTGCCTTCCCTCTCCTTGCCTTAGCTTTTATATCTGAGCTGACGTCATATGGTCTGGAATATCCCTTTGGTCAGTTCGGGTCAGCTGGCCTACTTGGGTTCCCTCCCAGGATCTTGCTCTCGATTGAGGGAGGAATGTTACAGTGCTGATACTGTGCTCAGCAGTAGGCAAAACACTGGTGTGTTATCAACACCCTTCTGGCTACCAATGCAAAGCATCAGCACTGTGAGGGCTGCTATGGGGAAATGAACTCTAGCTCAGCCAGACCCAATACACTGGAGCATATGTTGCTTAGGGCCCAGTTAGGCATTGATTGGCTGGTGGTGAGGAATTGGGTTTTTCGCATCACTTTTCTTTTAATTGTTTTCCTTTGTTTCTTTTTCTTTCCTTCATTAAAACCAAAAAACAAACCAAATTAAACTGTCTTTATCTCCACCCATGAGTTTTTTTCAGTTCTTCCCTCCTGATTCTCTTTGGGGGTGTGGAGTCAGTGACCAGCTCTGTGGTGCTTAGCTGCCTACCAGGCTTAAATTTAAGGACAGCATTATGCATGTTTCCACTATCAAGTGAAAACAAGTGGAAAATTAGGACTTAAGTTTTGTATGTTATGCAATGAGGATTTTTTTTTCTATTTGATTTTTCTTCCCTTAGGTCTTGGTGAAGGACCCTATATTTTGGCAAGTTTTGGAGCAAATGACACAATTATCGGGGCTAATGTATCCAGTAGAAGGATATTTCCTCTGCCTAGAACCGGAGCATATGGAAATGTAATTTTCGGTTTCATGATAACTCCAGGTCTTTTCAAAGATGAAGATTTATGTAAGTGTTCTCAGCAGTTTTGCTAATGGCAATATATACATCTCAAACTATATGAATGATTTTTGCAGCATCTTCTAAATCTCACAAAATAGTCTAGATATTTTTAGTTATTGGAATAAGTGAGGATGAAGAGGCCAACTTCAAAACTGAGGAATTTAATTTTTATTTTTTTTTTAATATTAGAAAACCTCACTGCCAGATTTAAAGCTGACTTCTCAAAGACTGTTTTAGAAATATAAAAAACCCAACCAAGTGAATAAAATACTTTTATGAAAAAAAAATTACTTTGTATAACTGGAAAATTTTGCACATGTATATAGCAATTACCAACACTGAAGGTCAATGCAAGATATTTTTGTCTCCAGTAAAATCAATTCTACTTTATCATTTCTTCTTACTTGTTACTTTCACTGGACTAGAAAATGTGCAACTTAGAATGATCAGTCTGTTTTCTGCGTTGTTAGTAAGCATACAATGTAGAAGATAGTTTCTTAGCTATTCCTAAGCTCTATTTTTCATTTATCAAAGACTTACCCAGACTATACAGCCAAAAATAAATATGTTTAAATATTTTTCCTTCTGTATGTATTTTCCTTTCTTCACATATATGCCATTTGTGTCAAGTAAGTCAATATAGATTTTTTATTGTTTTCTCACATAATTTAATTTGTTGAAAAAATTCCCAAACCCTCAAAGTAGAAAAGGTCTGTCTTCACAGGAAAGTGAAATAAGCTTAAAAACATTTGAATTTTTTTCAGTGGGGAAATTAGGTTCTTAGATGTGATTTTGAAATGAAAAATACATAGAACAAAAGAATTAAATCAGTCTTGTCAATTCTCCAACTAATGTAAAGCAGAAGTAAAATATTCATTATATCTGTGCAGTACACAGGTAGGTTTCATATCCATGAGGAATGAGATAGTATTCATGTAGAATAAAGACACTTTAAGACTTTATTCAAGTTAAAAATCAAGTTCTTTCATTTTCAGAGAATTTTCTTCACTTTTGATTTCTGGCATGGGCAGAGCAAACAGAGGGTCAAGTCTCTTATTTGGCAACAGGTTTTCTTACTGTATTGCTGGATATGACTGTATGTAAAAAACCCCCTGACCTCAAGATGAAGTCAAGCATGTTCATACAATTTGATGTTATTTACTAATGAAATTTGGGTACCCCTAAGTTGTCAGACATTTGTCCAAACTTGAGAAAAAACTCCCAATCTGAGCAAGTTCCAGTCTAAGTCTGCTTATGAATAATTTTGAAGGCTGTTAGCAGTAGGCTGAATGTAGTTTTGATCTAACTGATTAGCTCCCTGGTGGTTCTGGATTATATGATCAATCTCTTTTAGACTCTGCACTGCATTTCCAACCATCTTTTGTGTAACATAAGCCTGAAATATTTTTTTGTAAAAAGCATGTGTTTAAAAGGAACCACTTAAAAGCCAATATATGTAATTTAATCTCAATTGTAAGTTGTTTTCTGTGAAAATCTTACTATAATTATTATTTTTTTCTCCTCTGGAAGCTCTCTCTCTTGTTTCCCTGGAATCTGCTGAAAGACCAAACTACTTTCTGTACGTACATGACAATGAAACCATTGGGCTGGAACAGTGGCAGGCAAGTGCCTCCTTTCAGAGACGAGCCACCTTCTTCCACCACCGTGGTCTCTGGAGTCCAGGGCTCAGTGCCTTTGAACTGCACAGTAAAAAAGGCTTTTTCATCATTCTCACCTCATCCAGTGTTAAAGTGGCAAAGTACAATGATTCAGAAGAATTCAAACGTTTCAGTAGCTTTAGCATTGAAGGTAAATTATGCATAATCCCCAGAGATAAGTATTCTTTTTCTACTTGCCTTCAGAGCACTTGTCTTTCATCAGCAATAGTAACAAATTTTGTTACCCTGTTTTTAATTCCTTTCTTTCTTTGTCTTTCATTCCATCTCAAAATGCTATTATTTTTTAATTTTTGCAGATGATGGTCACTTTATCTTTGAACTACATTTTCATTTGTTTACACTTTCAAAACAAAATTCACATGTCAGAAAATGATGCATGTTAATATTTCATTAGTGATGTATAGATATTTAGATATTCATAGATATATAGATATTTAATCTTTTAAATAAACTGGGTAATTGTATTGCTTCTGCAACCAACAATGTCTTCACTATCTTCAACTAATTTTTAAGGTTTGTAAACAGAATATATTGTAAGAGTAGCTGTTTTTATTGTTGAAGCTTGAAGTGTCTTCTAGCTTGAATGAATCTAAAATACTTGAAATTGAACAAAATTTCACCTATTTGAAAGTTCTGAAGAGTTTGTCTATTTGGCTTCCATGTTTTCATCTGTCTGAAACCAATATATGGTATAGAAAAAGCTATAAATTTATGGTTGATTGACTATACAATCAATAAATAATACCCTTTCCTTCTTTCTCAGAACTTAGTGCTTCTGTGCCTTATAGAAGGATCTGTGAATGGCGATATGAGTCTTGTGCCAATCCTTGTTTTAAGACATGTAGCGATCCTGAAGGAATAGCGTGTAGATTCCTTCCTCCGTAAGTAAAATTAAGCTCATATTGCTACTGTATTGTTTTTGTAATATGTATACCATATGCTTTATGAAGATTACTGCACTCGCAATATCCATTCATTTTTACTCATCCAGATTTCAGTTTCACTCTTGTGAGAAACTCTCACGAGTCATATAAAAATATTTGTAATAAGCCTCTTATTTCCCACGGTATATATTCTTGTTTATATGCAATATTTCAACACAAGAGGGTTAGTATTTAGCCAAGAGGATTAGCTTCTGGTAGTGGTTAAGCAGAAAGCTATAAAATTAAATGAAGGCTATTTCCTTCTGTGGATTTATATTCACATCCTAAACCAGCATCCCGTGATGATAAAATGACTACATCTTTCTGGTGTTTATGTGACGGAGATCAAAAACTGTAGGTAAAGTAAGGGAGTAATGCGCCCTCTCCTGTGAGAGGAGGGAACTTGTATACTAAGAGGTAGTCATTGCCATAGAGAGTGATTTTACACGGGTGATATTAGCTTGTGTCTTAGTGACGAGATTTCCTGTCTCCACAGTTCTTCCTTGGCATCTATGGAACCAGAACAAACTAAAAGAAAAAATACCTAAAAACTGAAGGCACAATGTGTTGGAAAAGAAAGGATATTTTGAATTTCAGACTACCTCCCTAGGCATATGCAGCTTATGATTTGGAATATTAATAATATTGCTAATTTTCTGTGTTTGTATTCTTAGTGTTTTCCATATGGGCACACTGGTTGTTAATGCCATGATTTTCTTATTAAATAGTTCTCCCAAAATAAAAAAATATGGGAATATATGGAGTCTCTGCACTGTCCTATGCTGAAAGTACACAACAAAAGATTTTCTATAGAGTTAGTTTAAATATTTTAATGTTTCAAATGAACATTCATCATTCTTTGGAAAACCTTTCTGCTTAGGGAATAAGCTTCCACCTGATTGTGGAAGTAGCTATCATGTTCATCAGCCTATTCAAAAGAATCAACTATTAACAATTTAGAAACAGAACTGTGCTGTTCAATAACGTTTTGACCTTAAAATGCCTCAAAATTCTGTGTTTGCCATTACATTAGAAATGTAATGTCCCCTTTGATAGGGGAGACATTTGATTTTTTTTTTCCAAATAAAATAATTTAAAGTTAATTTATACTTCCACTGTGGCTTCAGAATTGACTATAAAATATTTTATAGGGTTGAAGGATGCATGCCATACTGTCCCAAAAACATGATCCTCGATGAGGTCACACATAGATGTGTTTATCCAGAAGACTGTAAGTATATTTTATTATACTGGTTTAAACTTGTACCTTACTCTAGAGATCCCAGGAAAGGCTTAGTCAAGTGTTCATTTTTTGAAACTAAGTACTTTTTCAGAACATCTTTCTGTTGAAGATTGTCTCTCTGGGACATAGACTCAATTCCCTGTCCATTCCCAGTCCATTCCCAAAATACAGCTTCTACATTCAAACAAGCTATATTTAAAACTGAATTTCTCTAATTGTGGGTTAAATATAACCTTTAGACATGATGTTATACTCATGACAACTGTATTTGAGTATATAATGCTAGTATATTACACATATAAGAGAAAGATCCCAAAAGAAAGAAATACTGCTGTGGCAAAAAGTTCATTCTTTTCAGATGGTGGGACACCACTAACAAACTCAAAACATCTATTTCATAAGTTCTAGTGTGTAATGATACCACATTGCTTGCTTATTTTGGAGGGTACAGTATTCTTTTAATATTAAAATTAAGTTTTAATACTATATCTTATTTTATTTTACAAATTTTGAATTAAATACATTGTGTTTGATATTTACTAGTAAAAAGTTTATTCCAAATATTTTACTGTTTTGGATTTACTGAATTTTCTATGGTATTCCCTTGTTGTTTCAAAACTGCTCTGTGAAATCAAGATTTTCACTAATAATAAAAAATTAACTACTTCATTTGCAAAGAAAATTTGAAAATTGAGTCATATGAGTTCCTCAAAGTCATCAGGCAACCTGGAACCATTGGCAAGCTCTGATTTGCTAATATTTAAATGGGACTTGAATAGAGATAGATGTCGCTGTTTTGCTTTACTAATAATCCATAAAAGACAGTGAAACATGCATTTTTCCTTTTAGGCATACCTGTGACACCTACAGGATCAGAAATTGGAACAAAACCTTCATGGTTAATCTCTCACACAGATGCTACCATGGAGGGATTTCCTCAGACACCTCCTTTATTTGTTACTTTGGTGAATGAACCAACTCATATCGGTGTGACAGACAAAATAACCGTGGAGGCAAAGACAACTTTAAGGGGAATGAATATGTCAGCACAGTCCATTACAGACTTTTACTCATTGGAATCATCTAATGCAGCCACCTATTCAACATTTTCATTACCAAGTACAGTGAACCCTTCTGATGTACTTCACAGCACAGCCAGCTCTACTGTCCCTTCCAAACTCATCTCTTCAACATATTTTCCAACTCTTCTTCAAGCATCAGCAGTCATATCACATGCTGTCAGTTCTAATACATCTTTAATTTTACCTATTACAATAGCAACTCCAACAGCTTAGTGCAAGTCCAATTCCAACACATTCTGCATTATTAACACCCACCTCCCTACTGGTAGTTCCATTTTCACTTGAAACACCAACCACTCGGCTAGGAACAGTTCCCCTACCTCAGCATTAACAACTTTAACCTTCAACCCATCTTTTGTCACTTCTGAGCTGTCTGCAGGGATTGGGAAGGGTAAAAGTCCTTCAGTAAGTAATTTTAAAGAGCTGAAATATCCTCTGAAGTGTCTTTGTCTGCTTTGCTGGCTGGCAGAGCAACTTTCACAAGACCTGTATTTCTTCTAGGTCCATGGTTGACTATAAGCACATCTACTTCTATATCTGCTTCATCTGTTAGAATGAGGTCTTGCATTGATCAAACTGCAGTTTATCCAACATGGTTTTCTGCACTGACTTCAACTGTTCCTCAAATTCCTATGACTACTAGATTTGCTAGCTCTAAGTTTTCCTCAATTGATCACAGTTTCATATTTCAAAACAGCAAAGCCCTTGTCTAAAACTTCTCTGATATCATTAAATGCAAGTTCTACAGCTAGTTTTTCTCCAAAGCCATTTTTATCTTCAGTGCAAATTTCGATCACTGTTCCCAAGCAGGCATCTCCATTAAAAAAGGGCAGTATTTATGCTGCTCTGCCACTAATAACTGTATCTGCACCTCAAGTTGCTTCTCAAATCCCTATAAACACTTCTTCAACTCCTTCTGTAACATGCGCAGTATCTATAGCAGTGCATTCCTTGATTACCTCCATAAAGCCCAAAGTTATGGCAGCTGTCACTGTTGCCTCCAAAAGTGTTTATAAAATACCTTCTACAGCTTCCATTCCTCAACTCAATTCAGAATCTCTGACGTGTCTATAGTAAGTAAAGCCTCAAGAGAAAATAAGTATATAATGCATACTGATTTCAGTGTCATCCACTTCTAAAAAGCCAATGAAATCCATTATGTCTACAGTCTTCCCTCTCAGGACATCGGTATTACCTCTAAATGCTACATCAGTAACCACTTCAGAAATTACAGAGTACCCAAGCAGTTCAGATACAGAACTGAGAACTGACCCTGTGGCTCAAAGTTCAGGCACTTTCATTCCTTAAGATCCTTCTCTTACGAGGTCATCGTCTTTATTTACAACCTTGTCATCAACATCAGTACCATCTTATGTGACATTTCAGACTACAAGTTCTTAATTGATTCCCACAGTAGATAGCACTTCATCACTAACACAAAATATAACTGCTACTGGAGAATCAGTTTCATCTCTAGATACACAAGGAATGTCAAAAATTCTAGTTACAGACGTTCTGACTTGTGTGGATTTTTCTAAATTCACTTTAAATATAAGCCCTTCTACCAACCTTTCAGCAGCACTAAAATCATCCATTTTAAAGCCCTCTTTACTAATGCCTAAAATTTCTGAAGCCATTTTAGAAAGCCAGCCCTCTATGCCTTCACCTCCTCCTAAGACCACTCATATCTCTAATGTTTCTCTAGGAAAGCAGAGTTCTTCGGTAAGTTCTTCGGAAGAAGATGGAAAAATATCAGCCATATCAGCTGGAATCATCACTCAATCCACTACACCAATGATCACGAACACAACAGTGAATGCCACATCCTCAAAAGTACCTTATATTTTTGCAAAAATACCACCTAGCTCTTCAGCCAGTTTATTAGTTACTTCAGGCACTACTCTAGCCTCTAGGATTACTACAAAAACCACTGATCCTTTTGTTGCTGACTTGGATTTTTATACGACTTCAGCTTCAGTTCTTACCACCACAGAAACACACAGATCTTTGTTTACAACTGCAGTAACTCAAGCTTCCCAGAGCACTAAAGAAACTCCAAAAATTATTGTAATGAAAACAACTGGTACTACAAGTCCATTATCACAGATGAAGAGTACCTCATATACAGTTTCAGAAGTTAAATACTCAACCTCATATGAGAGAACTGTGGAAATTTCACAAAGTGGTCAGACTTCATATGAGCAAAGAAATTTTACCAAGATAAAGGCAACCACAACTGACAGATCTTCCCTGCCTTATTTGCCATTAACTGCAGTCCAGAGTTCGCTTTTTTCAAGAAATACAACCTCAGTAAAAAATATGTCTCTTTCTGGAGTCTCAGGTCTAACAACATCAGATAGGTCCAAAATCCCAACACAGAAACCGATTAAACATTATTTTAGTTTAGCAGAGGCCACAGAGAGAACTAAAATAGGTTTATCTCATTCTAGTGGTGGAATGGCTCTACCTTCCTCTTCAGAAACAACAGGTGTAGCTGACAAGGCTTACTTTGGTACGATGATGCATACACTGATGTCTACATCATCTGAGTGTGTGGTATGATCAGTTTTACTTGTCCCTGTATGTTAAATTGTATATTACTTTTTAGTCTATTCTGTTATGCTATGTATGTAATACCAGAGATTTTAAATAGTTCCTATTTTCTATTTAATTTGTATATTTTTAAATACCCAGTTATTCTTAGAAGACAGTTTTATTGTTGCTCTTACACTGGCCCAGTATGTTCTACAGCTTGGATGTATTACTCTGAAAAAAAAGGCTTTAAAGCTATATGCTTGTTCTAAATATAGCTAAATATATTACTGAGGTGCAGAAAAAGCCATAATCCATGGAATTTTTTGGTTTCTGCATAATCTCACTCTGTCTTTCCTTTTCCCATTTGTTTCTTTGACATATGGTTTAACCTCATGGGAATGCATGATTTTGTGTTTCTTAAAGTGCTTCAGATTATTGCTGACTATAATGCATAGCCTCAATGGATAATGCTTTTTGTAGGGTATTCCACCAAAGTTAGATGGAACAGGACAGGTGTGCTGTTAGATGGAACATGTATTGTTGCCACCTGTTACAACCACACAAATGCAAATCATTCCAAAATAACTGATGAGGGGCAGGTAGATATGCTGATACTCTCTCAGAGCAGGGGGATGGACGAGTAATTGTTTCGACTTCATAAAGGCAATGAACTTAGAGCTGATTCTGGTTGTTTTTTTTTTCCTTATATGACAGCCAAGATACCTTGAATCTGTTGACAAATGTAGCCAGTATGTATGTGTTAATATGGGTTGGATGTTATACAATCTTTCAAGGAACTGCCCTAAGGATGTGCAGAAGCCAGATTGTGGTTTTCGAGGAATGCCTGTTCAAGTTAACACTGATAGTTGTTGTCCAGAATGGGAATGTCCCTGTAAGTCACTGTTTTATTTTTTAATAAAATATAGTGTCTTGATCTGTACATTTCAAGTAATAAATTAAGGGTTTATTCCAGTGGGAATATGAGGTTGAATACTGCAATGAATTTAAAAGAGCTATTCATCAGCAAAACAGAATCAAATATACTGAATGTTTTGGTATATTTGAATTGACATTCAATCAGATTATATTATAACATTCAAGAGAATCAAAATATTTTGTTTTGAATGAAAATATTGAAATGACATCTGCCGCATGAACATCAATGTTTCCCAGCTGAGACATTTCAGAATTTCTATCAGGAAAAGTGTTAAGATTTCAACATTTTGTGAAGAAAAAAAAATTGCTAGCATTTTCTGAAAGACAGAACCCCTCAATTTCAGTTACTCTAATTGCAGCTTTACTCATGCTTAGAAACTGCAGAAACTGGCAGATGAGTGTCTGCCAAGGGAAAAAAAAGGCTAAAGAGAAGTCGTATTTAAACCTTGCAGTTATTGGTTAATGGTAATTTGTCACTGGTTAATGAAACCCATATTACACTTTATATTTGTTTCGAGATCGGACAGAAAATTCCCTGTTATCAGTATCTCAAAAATATGTACATTTTAATGCATATATTTTAGCTCACGCTGTACAGATTCATTGACCTTGCCTGTAAAACATTGTCTTAAGTGAAAATTTTCACCATTTTAAACATTCTCCATCTTGGGCACACAAAAGTAGGTTAAGATATTTCCGCTGAGTAACCTAAGCACTTGGTTCTGCTTATGGCTCAATATGCTGTCTGCAGAACAAGGTCATCAATATATGTATGAACGAATATGTGAAAGAAAATAATGTTAGAACTGAAAGGTTTTAGAAATGTCCTGTATTTGGTTTTGTGTTAACCTCATTAAATGACTTTTTTAGGTCAATGTTCTGTACTGTCTGAACTGAGTATTATTACATTTGATGGAAACAACATAGCCCTCTGCAATATGGCTTCCTATATTTTAGTCAAGTTACCAGGAGAAATTATTGTTGCTCATATTGAAAAATGTCCTGCTAATCAGGTAAGATTCTTGCATTTCTGCAATAATTGTAATAGTTTCTTGAATTTTTTTGTTATAGGGATGAAATTCTGCAAAAATATGTCAATTAAAACTTAGATATAAAAGCCATACCCATTGAAAAATGGCAAGTTATTTAATTTTCAAGGAACATGCTTAATCATGCTGTCTAGACAAAAGTATTTTGTCTCAGGTTAAATAGTAATTGTTTTGTTATAAGGAAATTCAAATGTAGGTTACATTTAAATTAGAAGAGGTACCATAACTTCTGAATCTTCATGTCTCCTTTCAGGCTCTTCACGCACAAGTCTTCTTGTGGCCTTGAATTTATACTTTACCATATGGTCAAAATACTAAAATATTTTGAATAGTCACAAAAGATATTTTGTAGTTATTTTAGGAATGTATTAATGACATTGGGATTACTGTGGTGAGTTGTTCTTTGTAGTTGTCTAACTCTGCATTGCCTACAGAGGGGATCTGGCCACTTTATTTTAGACTGCCAGTTAAGGTCAGGTCAGTCTCATCCTTAGAACCTATAAATACATTTCCTTTGCATTGCCTGTAGTCATAATTTATGCAGCCCTTGAGCAACTGGCTTGTTTCCATCGTTGGTTTGTGGATAAACAAGTTACTGATGAGGAACTTCAACAGGCTTCTTTTCCCTCCCATCCCTCTTTATTTACTCTCACTGGGCAACTGTATACTTGAACTTTAAGACTGTTAAGTACAACAGTCGTGCACTGGTTTAGAGGTTTTCTATGAAATTGCTCTCTTCAATGTTTCTTGGTTACAGTCTAGAGGTGGGAACGTAGAACATATAGGCAGATGAGCTTTAGAAGTCTATAGCTGTAGTTCTTTAAGAAATATTTTTTGAAAGGGCCTTTCAGCATGTGCACTACTTTAGCTGGGAAGCGTGTATTTTTTATTATTTATAAGGAATATATTAAATTAGTGTAATTATTTAGCTGATTGTAGAAGAACTTCAAAGACGAAGAAAATAGTCAACTTATTTTTGATAAATAAAAATGCTGCTGATTATCATTGCACTTCTAATTTTTTTTAATGTTTTCCAGAGCGCAAATTCAATAAGAAAACTAGTAAGTACTTTTTTATTTTACTAATTATAAAATGCATTAATGTTACATATATTGATAAAAATTCCCAATAACACTGGCACAGAAATAGAAAAACAACAGTAATTAAACTCATTTGTCACTTTTCTTTCAAGGTTCCACCTGCGAGCACTTCAGGGCTCTGTTTTAAGAAATTAAATGTCACAACACCCACATGTAAAATACTTATCAATCGCTTAGCAAGAAAAGTAAGTATACATCAACAGTATGTACACTTAAAAAATAGCTGGAGAGCTATTCTGTTGTAGAATGTAATAAATTGGAATTAAAATTATGTATTACAGGATTAGGAATAGTTTTGCAGTTCAGGTTCCCAGTAATTTATGGTATCCTAGGAGCAAAAAATATACATTTCTGATACCATGCTTCACTTATCTGTCATTTACCCAAAATAACACTTTAAAGTTCTTTAGAGATTTTAAAGAAACTGGAAAAGAAGTTATACTTGAGATTTTATTTGCAGAAACCCTAAAATTGAGCAAAAAGTGTTCCAAGATGGGATAAACACTAAATCTGCCTTTCCTACTAGTCAATTACAAGTCAGAACAGATAACGTTGAATAGTTGGAATGAGGTTTTGTTTTATAATACAATATATGATAAATAAGATTTATTCCTTCCTTAATCAGAAAAGATTTTTTTTCTCATGCCTACTTCATTTGCAGTTATAGGGAATGACACTGATGGGAAGCTCTGTGTTGCTAGCACTGTGACTGTTGTATGTGGTAGAGGCTGTAAAAAAAATAACTTTCTTTATTAAATAGTAATACATATAGAATTGATAATTGCAATCTGTTTTTATTCCTAAAATGTGTTTGGTTTATTTTAGGTAGTAGTGGATTCTGTAATTCAACCATTACCATTTTCAAAAGAAGGACTGAGTATTCAGGATACTGGTGCAATGTATGTCGTTAATACCCCAGCTGGTATTAGCATCAAGTGGGCTCATGTTACAGGCATCATAGATATACAGTATGGATTACACTCTAACACATCGATGAAGACAGAAGGACTTTGTGGTGAGGCTATGGTCACAATTTTTTTCTTATTTAATGACTTCCCATTTGAAATTTGCAACTCTCTTTTGTGTCTGTGACCAGCTGTCCTTATAACTCTCCTTGTGACCCTCACTAGCTATGATGACAATCCTATGTGATGTGGGCTTGTGAAATACTGCTAATTAATACCAATAAATTAATCATTCTGTTTTGAAAGCACTGCATGCTAATAAAGTACTTTTTAGAACAAGTGGTGATCAGCACATTGTATCTAAATAGCTTTTAAAAAAATTACTTATTTCTGCCTGTTTTTAAGAATATTGTTGAAGTGAAGAAAAGGGAAAAATTTTCAATGGAGAAGTGGCTGCTAAAGAAGTTCAGGTAGTGACAGTATATTTCAGTGATTATGGAGAAAAGAGTAACTGTCTGTTGTTAGCAATAGCTAACAACTGTTGTTGTTAGCTATGCAAATACCGAAAAAAGATTTTATCTTGGGAAGGGCTCAAGTCTCCTGAGGATAGTGAACCTGAATTTAGACCTCTTGAGGTTGAATCTAGGGTCCAAAACTGTGCTGAGTTGTCTCAGACTTGAATTACAATGATGGTAAATTTAGCATGTTTCAGGCTTCCCTGATAGCCTTTTTATAACTCTGCCCGAATGAATAATATGGAGAATTGTAAGCAGGTATTTCAGAATTGCTTTAATTCTATCATAAATGTTCCTCTTCTGGTGAATTGTAATTTTATATAGTCTACCCCACACTGAAAAGGAAACCAAACTTTTTATGATCTTTTAAACCACTTTTAGTTTTAAAAGCAAACAGTGCGATTCAGATATGCTTTAATTGTAAACAAATCAAATCTTTAAAATCAATTGCTATATTCTGATTGAACAAAAGGAAAGTTCTCCTAGATCTAGGGAGAGAACATGAATGTTGGCCCTGCATCTTTTCCCAGTATCATGCCATCCTCTTTATACAATGCTGAAAGAGTGGGATGAAATGAGATCAAATGTAGGAAGAATTATAGAATAGTCATAGAAGAGTTGCTCTTTGTGCCATGAGAAGATACAAAGAGGAAGACTTTGCAGACAGATCCAAACTTCGCTTTAAAGTGCTGCTTTACTCGATATTTTGCAGGAAAATCTGAAACCTTCTTTAGCTCTCCTGTCCTATTCTCTGCTGTTAATTCCTGATGGGGATTCTTCAATCCTCTCCCTTTCATAATAGAAAAAATTGTGTGACTATTTGGTACATCAGCTTTATTTTTAAAAGCTGTATTGATTCTGTAATTCTGTAATATGACCCTACAAATTCTAACTCCAGCAGTTAGTGATTTGCAGGAAGAAGCAGAAGAGTTAAGAACAGTGGAATGCTGTGCTACTGTCAAATGCTTCTTATCATGCAAATAGCATCTTCTGTATTTCTCCATGCTGTCTGAAAGAATAACAGCCTGTCACACCAAGCTAGCCCAGTTCTAGCAAGGGACCCTGGAGAGCATCACACTGCAGGGCTGGAAGCACAAAGGTGAGGGCTTAGTGTGTGGTTAACGGTGCAGAAGGAAAGTGGAAGCAAGATAGAAGACTTTGCCTGATCGGTTCCGAGATATAAAACACTAGTATGAAGATTAAAGTTTTGGCATTAGTCACTTATTATGTGCTTATAGGAATCATATATTTTAATTGATGAATCAAAAGAATACCTACAATAATGAATTCAGATAGCCAATGAATGTCAGGGGTCTAGGTGGTTTTTTTTCCAGTGATTTTGTATTAATAAATAGAGTAAGAACCATATTTTCTCTTGAGAAAGCAATTTGTTCGTCAAAAGATTCTTTTCACAACTTCTTGCATTTAGAGTGTTCAGTTAAGTTTCAATACATGTCAAATCATCGGTGACAAGTAGTTAACTTGAAAGCCTCTGCAGTTACTCACAAGGAGCTGACGGCTGTTCAGTAGAATGAGATCAGAATCTAGTGCCATATCAGTGAGTTTGCTACACTCAACACCACACTTTGGTAGCAGCTTTTCTCAAAAGTTAATTAATTGTTGGAAAAGGTATAATTAGCTGTACTGCATGATCTGCTTGTTTTACTTAGCCATTGAGGTGAGAACTAAAGTCACAAGCAGAAGGTTGGAACTACGGTGGACATATCGCTACTTTCATTTATAAACTCAGGTGACTAAGTTGCACGAGTCAGCCTGACGCAATATTAATCTTACCTTATTAAGTGCACTTTTCTTTCCCAAAAGTAGGCATATGGCATGTTTGTTTGTGCTTTGAATATAATGCTCTGTCTCCAGGGGTGTGTAATGGAGATCCTAGTGATGACCTGAAAATGCAAAACATGAGCATAATTACAAATATGGAGGAAATTGAAATGTTCATTAAAAGTTGGGAAATTGAGAAATCACTTGATGTAACAACCAGGAGGCCAGTAAGAAACTGTACTGAAGATAACTGCACATACTGTATGGAACTGTTAAACAGAAGCATTTTCATCCCTTGTCACAAGAAAGTGAGTACAAAGATCAGAAAAGTTGCAGGTGCAATTCAAATAAAAGTTGTATAATTAAGAAAAGAGTGAGAGATATATGCAAATTTTTTGTGTTCTGCTTATTTTCATATTTCAGTTGAACAACTGAATGGGTGGCTCTAATACCTCCATCATGTTGCCTTTAGTACTTTTGTCACATTGTCCAACATAAACACGCATTTATATTGATCCCTGTGCTATTATGCTGTTTTAAAAATTATTTATTTTTAAATAATTAATAGGAAATTCTCAAAGGAGAGACACCAGATCATCATGTCAAGACAAATACGTTCCAAAAGGGTTGTTTTTGTTGAATTCTTGCTTGGGGTCACTGGAACAGAAAGCCTTGTGTTTCTGCTGCATACAACAGTGACTCATGCAGTCTGAGACTTATCTGACTAAAGAAATTTCCAGTTAAACAAATTTTGACCTAGTCACTATTATGGTGACAATTTGGTAGCATTTCTTACAAAAATAATTATAATTTGTTTCTGAAAACTGTACTTCCTAATGATACAGCTGTAGCATGCAGCCTGCCACTAGAGGTGGGTAGTGCAGCACAGCTGCTTCCCAGAACAGAAAATGAGGAAATCCCAAATCTCTGAGGTCCGACTTTCCCCACTTAATTAAAAATAAAAAGGATTAATTGCTCAAGTGTCTTTTTCTTCTCAGAGATGTGTTCAGATTCCTGATTCACTTCTTGCTGTTCTGCCTTTCCACCCTTAGTCTGTGTTGTGTCGCACTTTGGTTTTCATCACAGACAAATGCTGTTAAAAGTATTGCAGACAGCTGAACCCCTTCCTTCAAATTCCCAAGACCACTCCTCATTTTTCCCAGATAGAAAAAAAGGGAGTTCTTCTGAAAAGAAGGAGCTATATTTGCCACAGAAACTTAGTGGGAGGGAGCAATGGTAAGCAGTTTGGAATCAAGAAGGGAGAGTAGCACCAGTGCAGCACAGTAGTGAATAGGCAGAATGAAACAAAATCTGCCTTTTCCACCATGTTATGAACTAATGCAAAAGGAAACAGCAGAAGTAAGAAAGGTTGCATCACCTGCAATTGGTAGCATAGGCTATCAGGTCCTACAGACATAGAAAGAGAGTAATAAATAATTCATTCACAGCAGGATTTTATGGAAGGTATAGCAGAAATGTTTAGCTGAGATTGTTGACTTTTAATTGAGAGGGCTATACTGAAAAGCTCTTGTGTGAAAATCTCCTTAGGACTGTGTTCTGTGTTTACTGATAAGCGTAAAGAATTCTAGTTGTTTAAGTTTTGTAGAATGAGTGTTCTGAGAAAAAAGGAGTTTTTTAAGTTAGGCACTACTAGTGACTTTTTTCCTCTTGGGGCTGTATTATTTCTTGTAATTAATGATTTATTTTAATTACATAAAGTCCTTATACTTTTTAGTTCCCAATTGCAATATGTTCCTAGGTGTCACCACAGGAATTTTGTGAGAAGATGTGGATCAACAGTACTTATTTTTGGAATTATGAGTGTGATGCACTTTCTGCATATGTGGCTTTGTGCAACAAGCACAACATCTGCATTAAATGGAGGACAGCTGATTACTGTTGTAAGCATGTAGCCATATTCTATACACCATATGTCTTTAGTCATGAGGTTTTTTAGTGATTTAGTGTTTAGTGATGAGTTAAAAATATACTAGTTTCTATTATTATTCTAAGTGCTATCTCATTTTATCACAGCATGGGTAAATTGGGGTACAAGTTCTTAAGATGTATTATTTTAGTCAAAGTGTCATGAATGAGTTTAATCTCAGTCAAATGAGTTGCTTACCTGAAGTACTGTTAAAAGTATAAATGCCTACTTTCTGTGATACAATCATTTTTTCTTAGTAGCTATTTATGCAATGAAATGCTGAAAGAATAACAGAAACACTCAATGTCCTGTTTTTATTTCTTGCAGCATTGAGTTGTCCTGAGGGCAAGGAATACCAGCCTTGTGTGCAACCCTGTGAAGCCAAGACATGCTTAAATAAATGGTTCTATGAAGATTCTCCCTGCTCCTATTTGAGGGAAGACTGTGTTTGTAAAAATGGCACCATTCTGCATAGAACAGACTCTGACCTTTGTATACCAGAAGAAAAATGTGGTAAGTACATCAGAACAGAGTAGTTTTGCAGATATGATGATATTAACCACAGTTCAGTGTAAGAGTTTAAGTTCTATGCCAGTCCTCAGTAAGTGTGAGTCTGGTAGAGGTCCATTCAACAGAGCCTAGCTGTGTCTCAAGATACAGCAGTTTATGCTTTCAGTTCAGTTCCATTTAAGACCCAGTGCTGATGCACTTCTGTTGGGGAAAAATGATGGTCATTCTTCCATACCTCTGAAACTTTTCTTCCTCTAGTACTCAGGGAGGAATAGTATGGGCAGGTTCTGTCTCTTGCCTTCACCCATTTTCATCCATAGTGAAGCATTTGTTCCTTGGGGCTTTTAAGGTCATCATCCTTCCTTGGATTCCTTTATCATAATGCTTGACAGATGTATTATTTTATGCAATACTTTTATGCAATTCGTGGTTGCTTACAGAAAATGGAGCTATCTGCTTGTCGAAGGGATGTAATGGGATTTTTCTTCCAGCATGTACAGATAGTAAAGGACAACCCCGTTCTGCTGGGGAGAACTGGAATGGGTCCATGAGAGGCTGTTGCATGTATGGATGTTTAGAAAATGGAAGCATTGTTGCTGTAGAACCTGAATGCAGTGAGGATCCACCACCAGTCTGTGAAAGAGAAGGAGAAGTTATTGTCAGTGTCATTGAAGAGAGAGCTTGCTGTCCCAAGAAAGTTTGTGGTATGTACCACACTTGTTTTCAGTAACAGAAGTGTAAGGTAAGTGCTTAACATTCACTGGCAGCTGGCAAACTTTAGGCAGGATTCAAGGTAACATTTTTCAGAAGTCATTTTTAGGTACTTGTGGCTGGTTGGGCCAGGAATTCAGGCTTCTTTTCTATATAAGAACTGACTTGCTGAAATAAATTTTTTTCTTAGAAGTTCACCAGTTAAACAAAACTTCTGTCAAAAATTATTTTTTAAGCTCTTGCATGGAATTTAGAATATATATCAATAATATATATATCTCAATAATAAATTGATATATATTTGATAATAGAAGTACCTTGGTAATTGGGGCAGTCATCAGACCCTGTTTGCTTTCCTTAATAGTGCTTTGGTGTGACAAGCAGTATCCTCTGATCTACTGCTGTTTTCCAGATGTGGTTTTCTGTGAGCTGATCACTGCATACTAATATTCTGTCTAACCATGGCTGTTAGGAAAAAGAATAAACTTATTCCTCCTAAAACATTAAGCAAAATGTACTTATTTCTTCTTAACGTCTTCAAGGAAAAGGAGAACAAATGGTCCAGCTGATGTGATGCTTTTGCTCATTAGATACCTGTAACCAATGCTGTATTGTCAATTTACTTAGGGGAAATCAGTGGGACATTTTAGCTGGCTTCAGGTATAGGAAGCCAGCTATATCCCTCCTGTTTTAGGAGGGATATACCTGCTTGCTTGTGTTGTGCTCAAAGGTCTACATGATGGTATGGAGTGCACTTTAAGCTGTCTTGGGCTGCTCTTATTTAGTGGATCACTGTACTAGATGGTATAAATATCTTGAGCTATAGAACTTGCAATTGTATCTGTTTAAATACAATAAAATTGATTTTTTTTTTTATTCCACAGAATGTAACATATCATTGTGTGATGCCATTATTCCAACATGCAAACCCACTGAAAAATTAGTGGTAGGCTACCATCCCCTGTCCTGCTGTCCACAGTACCGATGTGGTAAGGGAAATACAAAACCACAGTTACTGGGAAGTTTTCCATACTTGCATTGTATGTTGAAAAAAAATTTACATTACAAGTTGTTTTGACTGTTAACAGAATGGGACACCGTAAATAGCACCAGGCAATGAGATATGGTTCTTTTCCTCATTCTCCAATATTTTTTTTGTGTTTGAGTTTTGTGTCATTTCTGATTTACAGTCAATTTGGAGTGTTTTGTTTTACTAAGTAGATCAAGAATATATTTTCTTTATCTTTTTAGTATTGTCTCAGTGACCCCTTTTGTGATAGTGTTTGTTTTGCATCCTACAGAATGTGATCCTTCAGTTTGTTTCAATGCTTCCCAGCTGGACTGCAGAGAAGATCAATTTATTGTTGAAGCAAAACAGGACGATCCCTGTTGTTTCTCACATCTCTGTGGTAAGAAGCCTCTAATATTTTTATGGAGAACTAAGGAATAGTCAAAAATTACAAAACCAGACAATAATTCTAAACCAAGTAACTTAAGCCAGGAATTCTTGGAGAGGTCAGTGAGACTTCACATGGATCAGGCTGACTGGAGCATAATTATTTTTGAGTTTGAGGATCTTTTCTTTCCAACATAATTTTGAACATCATACTAGAATTTTATTAAGTTTTTATATAAAATCCATGAAAGTTCTGTTATATGATTAATAAACACAATATTACTTGTTATTTAGTCTATTAAATGGAATTCACATGTGCTAACTTTTTAGTATTTAAAACTTTGTAAATGTCTGGGTTTTTTTTTTTTTATATTTAGTTTGTGAATCCTGTATTGAGCCTGTTCCTTTGTGTGATGAAGGGGAAATTCTCACTGTAGACCTTAATACCATACATTACTGTTGTCCTCATTACTACTGCGGTGAGTGTAACTGTTGTCAGTTCCATATGTTGCCAAATTTAGTAAAAATGACAGACTCTGTGTGTGTGTGTGTGTGTAGATTTTTTTGATTCAGCATTTAGGGTGGGCTTCAGATATAGACTAAGAGATCTGACTGAAGGTGTCTCTATTTGAGGTAGATTCAAAGTTCTTGGTATGCTCAATGGTGGTCTAACGAGTCTAAGTCAGCGGAGTCTGGAGAGGTTATTTAGTTCACCAGACAGAACATAGTTATTTTCATGATGATCTAAATACTGATATATTAACGTGGAACTGAATCCCATGCTTGGAGTGTAAGTATACTATTGTTCGTATATTAAAACAGATTTAATAAAACAGCTTTTGTGTTGTTGTACCTCTGTTGTACCATTCATTAATGCTTAGGCAGTTTCTTTGCACTTTTAACTTTCAGGGGAAGGAGTAGACCAAGGGTCCCAAAAACTGCTGGGTTGATTACTTTTCAAACAATGAGCAACCAGAAGAAAAATATTTGCAGTGTAACCTTGTCCCTTTCATAGCCTCAGAAAACACATAAATTGTGCTATGTGTTCTTAAGTAATGTCTACAAGTGTAACTGCTTAATTTAAATTGATTCTTATGCTGCTGCAGTCTTGTCCTATTGCACTCTTGCAGTGTAACTTCAGTTAATTAAATTGTCTTTCACAAAGTTTGGAATTTAGTAATTTTTACTTCAGTTTTTTCTGTGTTTTGGTCCTTTCCTTTTTCAAGCACTTTTGCCCAGGTGAAAGTTTCTGCAGAAGCCTTTGGCATTGTTTTTTGTCAAATTCTGGCAGGTTTGATCTACATCTTAGTGTATGATCTTCTTTCAAAGTAAGCCCCCTCAGATAAGAGAGGCAGGCATTTTCTTGTTAGGGTCATCTCAGGATGACATTTGCTCCCTGTTATCTCATGGGAGTGTGCTTTACAGCACATTTGTATCTGAGAAGAAAAAACCCTGTGTTTTCCAAAGACTATGATTTTAATTGTCTTTGGTACTAGTTATAATCTTGAGTGATTCTGAAGTAAGAAGAATATTAAATGAATCCTGTGTGATGTTTTCTGAAAATTTAAGCATGTTCTAAGGCAACTAAAATCACTTTTGAAAATCTCTGTTTATTTTTTTAGTTCCAAATGTAATTCAGATGCTTAAGAAACACAATCAAGTTTATGTAACATAACATCATTTAAAAAATAGTATATCAAAAGAAATGTAAGCTGGAAAATATGAAGTAAATTTAAGTAAATTCTCATACGTGTCTTTCCCCCTCATTTAGTTTGTGATGAAAATCTTTGTTCTGAGCCTCCTATGATTTGCACAGATGACATGACACCTGTGAAGAAAAAAATACTTGGGCAATGTTGTCCAGAATGGCACTGTGGTAATTATTGCTTTACTCCTTAGTCACAGCTGTTAACTAAAGCTAACAGTTAGCTAACTGATTAACACGTGGGTTTTTTTCTCCTCAGAATGTAATTGTGAAAATGCTACTATGCTGACCTGTAAATTGGTAAGCGGCATTTTTAAGATATTTTTATTAATGGTGTTCAGCCCTGTCGCTCTTCCCTTTATATTCCTTGTTTCAATTGGTTGCAAAGGGTGATGAGGCTGACCATGGACAGGGTGGTACAGCCTCCCAGTCCCCAACTCAAGAACATGATTCAAACAAGTGTCAACTATTCCATGGAGAAATTTCACTTTCTGTGTTGTAAGATGTCAAAAGAAGAAAAGCAACTGTAATATTGTCCTGTTCAATGTTGACACTAAACAATATGCTGGTAAGGTTTTCTACAGAAATAGTTCCCATTTTTTAAAATAATTAATGAGGAATGAGTTTTATTAGCATATATATTATCTGGAGAAACTTGGTTTTTCGTTAATCATTTATGCTTTAGATGACAATGATATAACATTATTGAATTTAGCTGATAGGAGAATTCATAAATATGTTCCTCCTCATGTAGTCTGTTGTAATAGGAACTGTGATCTGGAAAATAGTTATGAATGAATGTTCAAACTCCTATTATAACCATAGTGATGATATTTTCCATTTCAAATGTCCATATGTGAAGACTGCATAATATAAAGTCTAATCAGGGGTTTTAAATTTGAATTTCACTTATTTTTTGGAAGTAAATTCTTAGAAGGCAATCTTTTACTAATATGGGTATTATTGAAATAACTTTGTATCTCAGGAAAAAAATACTTTTTATTTACTCAGCTGTTCTTATGCACTTGTACAGAAAATGAAGTGGTTTTTCCTGTTTAAAGTGATAAATACATTGAATAACTCTGAGTGTGCTACTGTTTCTTGAGTACATTTTTCTCTTTTATGAAATCAGGGGTGGAAGCGATGAAAGTAATATTTTACATTTTTAGAGAAAAATTGTCTGCTTGGCACTATATTTAATTGTACATGACTTTGCAAACTTTTATCTTTTTATGCTCAGGGAGAAGTTAAAAAAATAGATAATAGCGTTTCCAGTGCTTGCGGATGCACTCACTACATTTGCGGTAACTTTTTCATATTCCTTGTTGTTGTGTTTTAGTTTTCAGCAGAAAGGGCATGCAAAGAAAGCAGAAATAGGACCATAGTAACCTTCTCAAATATAAATGCTCCTTTGTCTTGATTTGATGTTTGTCCACCTAGTTATGCAATTATACTCTCTTTTCTGGATATGAGGCTTTGTCTGCTAGCCCATCCGTTTTGTGTCAGTTCTTGCGGGGTGTGGGAGTGTTGTAAAACTGCCCATGCTTTCAGAGCCTCTCTGGTGAGGGAAATATGGAAAGCATGTTGTGAAGTGCAGCTGTGTGTGAGCAGTGCAACTGCTCCTAGTCTACTTTCAAGCACAAATGAGACACCACCACACCAGAGCAACAAACCTGTTCAACCAGCACAAGAGTAGGAAACCAGTGTTAAGATCAGACCTCTGCTCCCTTCCCTCACCCAGCTACCCTATGGTAGACGAGATTTCAGCTGCACTGTGCATGGGGGATGCTGGAGGTATGCTGCAGTCCTGACAGTAGCCCAGGCTAAACTGCCTCAAGGAGCAAAGCACACATTTATGGTACAGCTTGAGCAGATTACTGGCCTACAGATAATTGGAGACATACTAGTTTAATTGACAGAAAGGCTACATTTTGTAATGTGCAGAATAGTTGGATGTCAAATATTAGAACTCTTTAAAAGTAAGAACTACACATTTTTTTTTTACTCCCATTGTAGGAACACTATCAATTTTAGGCAGTTTTGCATTTTGTAGGATTTTCTTAAGTTGAATTATACTTTCTCCCCCTCTATTTTGGTAATTTAAACCACAAACAGTCAAGTCTAAAAGTTAGAATACTTTTGCATAGGACTTGGCCCTACTTTTGTCTTACCAGTGATTCTGTTAATTTGTTTGATGATTTTTTTTGTCCCCCTCTGGTAACATTTATTTCTTTCCATTTTAGAGAAGGATGATGTGTGCATCTTCCAAGAGGTCACAGTACTGAATCCTGGACAGTCAATAATTCAGTACTTGGATGGAGACCTTTGTTACACTGTACAATGTTTACAAGAAAAAGATCAGAACACAGGATACAATGCCATGCATTTCACAATGATGAACTGTTCCCAGCAATGTGAAGCTGTGAGTATTCTTAAAATACAGGAATGATGCAATTTGTGAGCACAACTGCACAATTAGGATAAAAGTTTTAGTGAAAACTTTTGCTAGTCCTTTAACTCAGCAAGTATGAGAACTTAACAGTGATGATGTGTACCTTGTGTCTACAGGATTATTTTTAGAGGAAGGTTCTATCAGCATATGAAAATGTATCTATCTGACCATCCATCCATCCTTCCATCCATCCATCCATCCATCCATCCATCCATCCATCCATCCATCCATCCATCCATCCATACGTATATTGCTTTTCTTGGTATTTTTAGTTTTAGAAATCAAAGAATTTCCATATCCTATATGTTTAAAAATACTTACTTGGTTTTTTTCTTTCCTTTCTTTCCAGCATCAAATATATATTCCTTCCTTCAGTCACCATACTTGCTGTGGCATGTGTCAAAATGTGTCCTGCTCTTTTCATACAGAGAACGGAACACTCATTGTGTATGAGGTAAGTGTCTTTGGACAGAGATAGGAAATAACTATAATAATACAATATATAGGTATCTGACAGTCATTTCTTAGTTAACTCATGCTGTCAGTCTTGTTACATGCCTCCTTGCTGCTGTTTATACACTTAGAGACTATTTATGATATACGATAGCAAGAGTGTGTTTATTTAAAGACCTGCCATTTCACACTATGTGAATACCTTATTTCATTTTATTGCTCGTAATATTTTCTATAAAGATATGTAAATGTCATAATTTACTTAAGGTTGGATATGCTCCAAGTGCAGGGAAGGGTTCAAATTTTAATTCTAAGTCATGTACTGTGATTTAGATATGTTCGGAGCTTCAGAGTTCACAGTGGCCCTCTTCTCAGGGCCACTCTTCTTGTTCTGGTTACTACAGAAAGAAAGAGTGCAAATTGAAGCACTGGGGTTCAGGATCTTGATGGTGTGTCAGCATCCCCATACATGGAAATTTAGATGTGGCCATAACTTGGTTCATGCTTCCCATTGCTTTCAGAGCAAAAGAAACTAACAGGCACAGAGACTTTTAATTCTGCACTAGGACACCCATGCTGAACAGCGTGCTGGAGAATAGAGCCATGGCTCCAGGGAGGAGTAGCCACTGGTAGTTAGAAGGTGGTCTTTCTCCTTGTCCCCTCTGGGTGGTATGCAAGACTTTCCACTCCAGTAGGTACTACCGCATGAGGGCACCAGTTTTAGAGACATTTGAAGTTGTAGATAAAGCTGAAATGTTTTGGCTTCCCTGACAATGGCTTTGGTTCATATATTCAGGAAGGAAGCACCTGGAGCTCCAACTGCACCAACTACAAATGTGCTAAGACTGCTGCAGGGGCCATCATACTGGGGTCAAGTGTTGTCTGCCCCCCGTTTAATGACACTGATTGTACAAAGGTTTGTACTTTGGGTGAGGTAAGTGATAATAACTGCTCTGGAGTTTGGCTTACACTTGACAAGGCATGCATAGCTCATGTAGTTCCTTTAAATTAAAAAAATGGTAAGTAAAAACATGTAAACTAACAATTTACAGTTATTTGCTATGCTCCTGTTTGCTTTTCAACTGACAAAGTGTCTGTGAGCAGTATAAAGATTTGGTTTGGGTCTTGATGACTGCTTTTAAAATATTGTGGAATTGGAATCATGCTTAACATACCACTATATAAAGTGCTAACCACTGTGTCTTACTTTAGTTTAGAATAACAATTAGCCAAGTTCGTAGTGCACATAGACTAAATGAATCAGATCAAGCAATCCAGAAATGCTGCATATAAAAGTCGGCTATATTAAAAATTCCTTAAGTTGTGCAAGGATTAGGAAGATGACAGAGAGGACAGAGTATATATAAACTTTATTATCTCTTAAAATAAACTTTTTATAATAAAAAATATCATACATGAAAGGGTATCTACCTACATCACATATCTAAAAATGTAAATGTGGCATACCCATATAAACTTCTTTTAAGAACGTGTGTTCTTCACATACATTGCATATTTGTTTACAGTTTAATTTCTAATTTAATACTTCTCTAACTTTATAATACTTATAATTCTTGCACTTGCAGTACACCATATATTTAATATAAACTACAAATAATAATAAATATATATGTAGAGAGGGTAAGTACCATTATAGCCTTGACTACAGATTATGAATTTAGTACAAGTCCTACTTATCCGTTCCATTTGTTTAAAAAAATCCTGAAGAAGGTACACTATCTAAAATTAGTGTCTGTATTACTTTGACTTTATGCTTGAGTTTCTTCCTTGGAACCATTTTGACACCATCTATTAGGATCTTTCCTTAGTAATAATGGTTAAGATTTTAAAGAATGGAGCCCTATAATTAACTTCTTGAGTCAGTCTGACCTGTTTTTCAGAGATGTTGAACATAGACTTGAACCAGTAGCTGAGAAGAAAGCTCTTCTGACAGGCATCTCAGGATCATTCAGGAATATGGATTTAAGTATCTGAGTTTAAGTGCTCCAAAGTTCTCAAACAGCTTATTCAGTGATTTTTCTCTAATGATATAAATAATGTATGCTCGCATGAAAAGATAGAAGCTAAAAAATGTCTTTTGTCTGCTGTTATCTTAAGAGTGCTATTCGTGTTCTGTTGACTGCTTGATATGCAGTTCTGGGCTATACACATGAATTTTTTTAAACTAGCCTAATAAGTCTCAGTGGTGGGGAAATAGATGGTAGTGGATAATATAAAAATACGCTTACAGAAACTAAGTGATTTATTCAAAGGAGACTAGATCAGATGTCAACTGAACACTACTGAACTTTCAGCAGTGATGAGTTTGTTTTCAATTTCAAAGGTTGTAATGAATTTGTGAACCAAACCTTCAGCTGACACATCTGTGTAATTCTCTTCATTTCAGTGATACTACTTTTTATTAGATGAGCATCTTTAAAACATGGAATATCTTACCTTTTCATCAGGCACAGTGTTTTTTGCTATATTCCCCTTTTATTTTCCTAGAATGGAGGAATTGTGCAGACGTATAATGATGGCTGCTGCAAGACCTGTAAGTGATGAAGGCTGCAATATGTGCTAGTTTGGCTTTGATTTTGGAGGGCTTGTTTTTTAACCTCAGTTGCTGGGACATAAAGAAGGAAAAAGCATGCAGTCCCCCTGCAAATCACATAAAAATTGTTGTAGTTACCTAACTACTTTTATTAAAAGGTATTGCTTCATTTGGCTGCTGACTTGGTGATTTTTAACATTATTGTTCTGGAGTATAACCAAATCTCTCCAAATATAACCCATGGAAGATTAAAAGTTATCTCAATTAAAATAATGAACAAATTCTCTTTATTGCTAAGATGGCTCTAAAATATTGCCTGTATGATTTTCACCATAAAAGATAAGGACTTTTTCCCCCTAAAATTGATTCCTAATTCAGTGACATTTTGCAATATGTCTTCAAACTTACTGATTTATTCTGTATCCCTAATATGTATTTTCTAGGGCCAAAATACTGGAATACTTTTTTAAAAATCCCAAATGAGGAAAAGTTATAGTAATACTGAAGATAGTGACTCTTATATAAAATCAACTTTTTAGTAACTGGGAATATGTACACATTTTCTGACTGTGTAACTTTAAAATATGATGAAATGTGACTCAGGCTGACATAAAGATTTCATAATTTTTGCAATTTTAAAAATTGATTGAAAACAAACAGGTTTTTGCTGCAGTTTTGACTAAGAAAAGTTTTATTATCTAGGTATATAATTATTTATATATAAAAACCTGTTGTTGTATAAAAGTAATTGTGTAGAGCAAGAACATGTTCAACACTTCAGAAAATCCTCCCCCTCTTTTTTGGCCATTTTTGTCTTCAACATTAGAGTAAAATATATAAGCAAATTAGTTTTTGGAATTTTTGTAGACAAACGTTTACTTAATAATATTGACTAGCAAGTCACAGACTTACAACCATATATTATACAGTTATTACATAAAACTGAACTGCAATGTATTTTATATAATTTGATGAAAAAAGGGAATATTGATATTTATCTAATACAGAGTAATACCAAGTTATGCTAGTCTTAAAAACTGAACTGTAAATGCTGATATTCTATTGTATACAAAATGTAGAAAATAAAGCATATTTTAATACAATATAGTACATTTTTTAATGAGAACCACCATAGAGAAATAACACACCAAATTGTGCTACAGTCTTAATGACAATATTCTTTCTCTCATGAGATAAGCTGTGTTGAAAAATATTTAACTTCCCCTCAAAATTAGGTTGGCTTTTTTTAGAAACTTAGTCTTAAGAATTATTGACTATTTGTTTACTTTTGATCAGGAAGATTTATAATTTTGGCCATATTCTGTGGCCTCAGGAAAGGCATTGTTATACTTCAGAAATACTTGCTGAGGTGGCTGCTAAAAACCCCAGATATCATTCAAACAATTATATGCTATTTTATTTTTATTTTGTTTTATTTTTAACTAAAAGCATGTGCCCTGTGGTGAAGCAGTTAAGAAGAGTACAAATAGAGCTTGCAACACGTTGGGGTTTTAATGGGGACAAATAAATTTTCTGAAAGAACTTGATTTAATGCATGCAAAGTGAGTGCATATATTTAATTCTTACCTTGCCATAGAGAGACTCATTGCAAAAGTTTGATTTAAAAGTAAGCATCATTCCAGTTTTGTGTTAATCAGGAGTGTAATAAAGTTTAGGCCATCTTTAGACTTGAAGCAGCTGCGCAGTTTCTAAATTGTAGAAGACTAACAGGAAAGCTCATCATCTTTTATTAAAAGAAAAATTGCAGTTGGCAGTGTAAGAATTAATGAAATGTCATTTATACAGAAATGTTTTTATTTCATGAGAATCTTCTATTCCTAATGATTCTGCCAGGTTCTGGATTGGGTCTATTACCCTTTGCCATTAATCCAGTAGTGCCTACTGATAGTATTAATTGTGAACCAGGTATTATTTTTAATACTGTATTTTCCTTTTTTTGATAATAGTGTAAGCAGTACTTGATATATATGTCGTAGCTGTCATCATCATTAAATGTTACCATGCAGTTAATGGTTCTGGGCCTGATACTGAGAGATGCTGATCCTCTGTTGGTCTCCCAAATCAGTGGTTTTCTAAAGCCTGGTTAAGGTTCACTGCTCAGCACCTGTCAGAATTAGGTTCATCCATTTATGGTTATTCCTCCTGCTCTTGCTGAAATTTCTTTTAGCACATGAATTTACTGTACAGGCTAGTGGTACTAAAAATGTTACTGAAAAAAAAATCATAATTCTGAATACGGTTACCAAGAGATTCTAAATCTGATCCCAGGTTTCTGAAATTATTGATGGAATTCTTTTTTTTTTGTCTTAAAATAGAGCAAGAGTGTGTGTTATTGTCTGGTCTCACCTTTGCAAATATGGATTTATGCTGTATTTCTTCTTTGTCACAGATAATATGCTTTATAAAGTTAGGAAAATGTTGAGGGTGGGGCAGAAACATACAATTGCAACCACGTGGTAATATATACTTTTTACACCAGAAAATACAGAATGTTACAAAACTGTTGCATCACACTCATAATTCTTAACTTTTTAGGATAGGTAAGTCACAGAAACTCATTGCTGAAATTAGGAGTGAGTAACCAAGCACATCTGATATTGAATGCAGATCTTTACAGTTCAGGGCTGGGGAGAGAAAAGTATAGCATCAGTCTTCATTAGACATCAGCACTTTATATGCTGAAATGTCATTTATATCTCTACATGACTTCTAGCAAAACAAAGATTGCATTGTCTACATGTACTCATGCTGGCAAACACTTTCTAATGGAAATACCACAGAACTTTTTCTTAAGTGTTTCTGAGGAAAGAAAAGCAAGATAACAACTTCAATCATACAGCAATTTGCTAATTCAGTAACATAATCTTGTTTTACTCTGAATGCACAGATTAAAATATAGCTGTACTCTGCAGCAAACCTAAGTTTTAAATACTCAGTGGAGCTGTGGTTGCAGAATATCTTGGTTGCTCAGAGCTCAATTATCTTATAAAAGTGCTCACAAGCTTCTGGGGAACAGAAGAGTTGTTCTTTTTGTGTACACCCAACCATAAAGGCATGTGTGGAAGGCTGAGAAACTCTGCTGAGTTATTATTCAGAAACTCTGCTTATTATTTTATATGCTGGATATCCAGAATGGTTCCACAGCAAAAGTAATATATGATTTTGATGGGAAGTGAAATAAGAGATCTAATTAACTTCTGTTACACAGATAGTAATAACAGTCTTATATGGAGTGCAGCATGAAAAATTATATTTTTAATTTTTAATATGTTAAAAATGGCTTTGCACTCTACAGTTTTATTTTTCAAATAGAAGGAAAGAACTCCTGTCAATATCTCCCAGATTGTACATAAAAATTCAGTATTTCCCTAATCCTAGCTCTGTATGCTGACTCAGTGCTAAATGCTTCAAATCTAGTGATAAAAAGTGCATCATATTTAGCAAATGGATGCATCTCTCTCTTTCAAAGCTTCCTTGAAGGACATCTTTTTCAAAAATACATTGAAATGATGTAATTATATTTAATTTTTAAACCTGCAAAATAGCATCAGTGTAATCACGTTCACAGCTTCACCTTCTCAATGTTAAGTTCTGAAAATTTTCTAAAATGCAGAATTAAAATCCTATTTACATTCAACATTCCCAATAAAACAGAATTAATTCTAATACTATTCAAAATTACTCGAGACATCTTTTTTCCTCATTGCTTATATTTGTCTTGCCATATATGCAATTTAAAATCATATTCATATTTTAATATTTCTAAAATCTGTAGAGCTTATTTGGGACACTTGATGACTCATATGTGCCAGCTATAAAACAAATAATTCTGCACAAGAACTATTTACTAATATATTAGATTTAAAAAAAGATATGGAAGTAATAGTTTCTGTGTGTACATTAAGGAAAACAAAGTATAATTATTTAAATTATGTTAATAGTTTTACCTTTTTTTTAGTAGCAAATGCAGTACAAAAGGTGTATTGATTCAGTATACATTTTCTGTATTTTTTCAGGCAAAAAGGAAGAAAGAATTTGCCAAAAAATGACAATCAGGACAACCATAAGAAAAAATGACTGTATAAGTCAAAGCCCGGTAAGCATAAAAGAGCTGTTTTGATGCTGGGCCTGTGGCATGCCAAATCAAGTACTAAGAAATTGGTTATAATGAACAACAAGCAAAAAAAATACTGCTGTCTTCTCAAAAGCAGACCTTTCATCCTAGGAATGTTATCCTACTCATAAATACAGTAAAACTAGCTGTTCCAATGACTGAAACACTGAGCCCTCCTACTAGAAAAACATCTGGCTTCAAATGAAAAATACACACCATAATTGCTTGTGACTAATGAAAGCATTGAACTCTTCGGCACAAAAAAACCATCCCACTCTAAAAGAGGACTAGAATGTTTCAACTTACAGTGTGATGGAAACATTGCTCTATTCCCCTTTGAGGACCTTTACACTCTGTGTATCTTCTCCTGCACATAGCATGGGTCTCCATATCATAAATTCTTGATCCCATTTATTTATGTGTCTACTTAAGACATCTTATTTCTCAGCTTTTGTGTAGCCCCATCTGCAGAACCCTGGATATTTCCGAGTAGCAAATGTATTTCTCATGTAGCACTTAGAAGAGAAGCATTTGACAAAGTAGCTCAAGACTTCCAAAAGGCCTCTGGTAAGATTCTATTGAAGAACCTAAACAATCATTAGGGAAGAGGCAAAATATCATCACATATTGAAAGGCATCCTCTAGAAGTTCAACAGTGATATGTTCAAATTTTAATAGTAGGGGTGTGTGGTGTATTTATTTAGTTTTAGAAGAAGGGTTGGTAAGGAGGGAGTATAAATATATAGATGAAATTACAGTAATTTTCCAGTTAAGAGAAGATGCTGGAGAGCTTCACAGTTACTTTAGTAAATGTAGTACAATTTAGGTTAAGGGACAGCAATATGACAAAATAAAGACATGGTATTGACTAAATGAGAATATTAAAATGAAAGATTTTGTCAAACCTCATAGGGTTTTTAAACTAGTTGAAAAGATCCTTGCTTTGTTGTCCAGTTCTTTGAAAATCTCTGCTTTCCTGCTGACAGAAAGGCTAACTAAGAGCTACAACTTTTAGGGAAATGGATAGGCAGTGGAAACAAGCTCATTCTAGAGTATCTTATGATTCAATGCTGCAGTACTAATGAGAGTACTCTGTGGAGCTGTAGTGCTTCTGCATTGCTGCAGAACTACAATGTTCAGAAAGGAGCAATAAGAATGTTGGCCAAGTTATGTCTTGAACGACACAACAAATGAAGCCTCCCTTTTTATGACTTTCTGTTGTAGATCATATTTCCTTCCCTCTCTAACCACCTTTGAAAAAGACTCACCACCATCCCACTTCTATTTGTATTACAACCCCCTTCTCCCAGTATCTTCTTACTCCTGATTTCCTTGATAGCTGCACACCCTTTGCACAGTCCAGATTCCCTTACCCTTCACCCAGAAGTACCTCCAGATTTTCATGTCCTCAGAATTCCTATTCATACCCTTAGCTCCAATTCCTTTCCTCTTCAGCTCCCCTACTGGCACTCTTTTTCAATTGCTTGATTTTGGCCAATCAAATGGTGGCATCTGCTCTGACTGGTTTGGAACTACATACACAGATTAATACTGTCAAACCTTGGAAAGGGCAGAGTATGATTACATTTCTTTAATTAATAAGTAGGACTATTAGTGGTTAGGACAAAGTCTTTTTTTACCCCTGTTAAATTTCAGAAAACTTAAAAGCTGTCAGAGTAACTTTTCAGTCTAATTTTTATGGATATGGCACATTTCATCACAGGCTGCTTGGAAGGGAGTGGATCAAAGCATCTTTCATATGTCCCACCTGCATAAGAAATCGGATCTAAAACTATCACAGAAAGAACTAGATCTATTATAGCCATTCTCAATTTCCCAGCTATTAACACTGCTTGTTTTAATTAAAAATTATTAATTTTTTTCTGTCAGATTATCAGATAAGAAAATTCCTCAGATAATGTAGTAGTGAGAGAAAGTGACTTCAGTCTAGAGCACACATAATTTTCTAGCCACTCTGTGCCCTTGTTTATTTGTTACTGCATCTACTTTTTGGATACATTTCTTAGAGTGATAATACAGCCCTCAGTCACAAGCAATATGAATAAGAAATGGGAAAGCTTTTCCACTGCTATGCTTTTCCTCTTGAACCTTCAAGGAGAAAGATAGACTTCCCTTCATTTTCCTTAGAAGAATTTAACACATGATTAAACAATAAAGAATAGTTTAATTAAAAAAAATATTTTCAACGTGGCTAAACTTAGAATTAATGAATTTTAGAAGTTAAAACAATTTTTTAGACCAGAGTCCTTCTCAAATGTAAAAATGGGTTTTAATCACAGAGAAGTTTGAAATGTAATATTTTTGCAACAAAATTTAAGATGTCTAATTTCACTTCTTATTTTACTTCTAGATAAACGTGGCCTCTTGTGATGGAAAATGCCCATCTGCAACAATTTTCAATGTCAATATTGATAGCCATTTAAGATTCTGTAAATGTTGCCGAGAAATTGGAACACGTAATCTGACTGTGCCACTGCGCTGCTCAGGAAATGGCACTGAAATTATGTACGTCCTTCAGGAGCCTATAGACTGCTCATGCCAATGGAACTGAACATTACTGTGGATACAATTTAATCTGAATAAATAAAATGAGTTTCCTTTCACCAGACATGATTTTTTGACCGTGGATGGTTGCAGTAGTCTGCAGGGATATAAAAAAGTCCTCAGTTATGCTTTATAATGTAACTTTTCACAAATTTAGTAAAGACGTTGTTTGTTATTCTTCAAATTGTCTTTTAAAATATTGGCATGTATAGAAAGAAAACATAAATCCTTTTGGACAAGGTGTAATCATCATTTATTTCTACTCAGTGGCTTTCTGATGAGCTGTTGAAAGCTGGTTAATGTCTGTGTTTCTAGTATTTTAAAATTTTGGATTGAGGTTACCCATCAAAGTTGAGAATTTCTCAATGGTTCGTTTGCTTTGAGAACTCCAGTGGAAAACTATCACTGGTCCCATGTTTAAATGGGAAAGAAGCATATTAGCATTTTGAGAATGACTGAATTATTTATTTACAAAATCGAAAGTTCAACTGCAACACTTTTTTTCTTGTTTAAAAATCTATCTTTTGTCCATTAAGCTGTTATCAATGATTCTACTCTGCTTACACTGTAAGTCACTGAGAAATAACACAACTATGATCTGTAAGTACTTGTAGGAAATCTTCAGAGTACACAGCAGCATCATAATAATATCTTTAAACCTTAGACATATATTTAATTTTTATGTATATTATAAATATGAAACATGACTAGGCAAAGGCTCAAGATTTCAAGCTTTTGTGCCTTTATGAAAATATCTAAAAGCTGTTTCTGCTATGAAAAATTCTATTTTATATCCATTTTTCACTTTTCACAGAAAAGAAATTGGCTGTCTGCTAGCTATAGAGTAAGATTCTATGTATATATTTATTAAAAATACCAGAACATTTTAACTATTCATAATGGGTTTCTTCCTTCATTTTCCAGTCTGAAGATTTGTATTCAGTATATTTTTATAAAATGCATTTTTAAAAAAAAATACTGAGATTTGGACTGAATTTACGCTTCACAATTTTTGAGTCCAGGAAAAAAAAATCAGGTAAAATAAATGTTTTGAAGGTCTTAGGTGAGTTATTCATGCTCAATCAAGCTGTGAATGTCCATGATTCAGCACCTTAGGCTGAATGTAATCTCCCCTTTATTAAATATACTCTATAACCTTCTGTTAAAAATTAAGGATACAATTTTAGGCTTGTTTTTATAAGATTACTTTGCTTTATGAACTCACTGAATGAAAATCATTTAAAGTATAACAATATTTTCCTTATCATCAAAATTGATTCAGAATTAAAATTCTTGTCTAAAAGTCTGAAAACCTTTTGACAAACAGTTTTAATTTCAAGCTGTTGTCATTTAGTTACAAAAAGATTGGATTATCACATAGATTATTACAATGAAAAGTAAGTAGTATAAAATTTAAAAACCCCTTTTAAAATCCAAGGCTATTTTGCTACTTCGTATGACAAATCTTTAAATGTTTGTTATATTCAGTTTGTTGGCTTATAAAGAAAATAGCTTATCTAGGGAAATCTGTCTTTACTAACAAGACTCATCTACTCATCCATATCCTTAAAAATAGTGACTTGGTTTAAAAACTAAGGAAGAATCCATTGTATTATCTGTAAAATATTTAGCCATTCTAAGGAAATAATGATAACCCAGTGATCAAAATAAAGTGACACTTTGAGAAAACATATGCTTCATTTGCACATTTTTATAATTTGTATGGCAGATGTTTCAAGTTGTATTAGATACCAGGGCCTAGAACCAAAATGTTCTCTGATACTGCTGTCAGAATTTGTATACAGAAACTTTTCACGTGGGCAAGAAATGAAATTTAAATCATAGTCATAACCATAGTTTATTTACTCTTACAGGAAATTAAAAGAACAACTTTTAAAAGAAAAATATATCCTTAGAGCCTTTTGATTTTTTAACATAGAGATAGGAATCCTATATTTGCATTAAGAGAGTTTGGCCCAAAACTTATTAATGAATTTAGCATTTGATAAAAAGGAAGCTCTCACAATACAGCATTTTTTCCATATAATCACTGAACACTTTATGTGTTTTGATTGAACAGCTGTGTGTTTTATAAGACATGTGCTTTTCTAAGATTTAGAACTGTATTTGTAATTAAAAAGAATTTAATAAGTATTATTTTGCAGAGTAATAATAAATCAGTGTTGATGCAATAATTTACCTTTGCCACAAAAAAAGGATGCTAATGCAAAATCTTGGGCAAACCTGGAAATTAAAAAAGCAGTTATGTTCAAAATTAACTTCATGACAACCTGTAATGATATCAAAATGGTGTTAAAATATTTTTTTTCCCACTCACCCAATTTTGTTTTTTAAAATGCAACTGTAGGGACTGAAGCCTACGGCAAAATCATACATCTTCAGTGTGGCTGGATAGGGTGGCTCTAAGGTCGCCTTTCATTTTACGATTAAACTTCAAACTTGGGCTGCTTTGGCCTGGTCAGAAAGTGAACAAGACTGAAACCCATGAACCATTTCCTAGACAGCCAACCCACTGCTGTTACCTCCATGAAGATGACATTGGCACAATGTGGTACATTTTATATAGTGTGAACTAACCCTTGCAGGCCATGCAGCTGATAGAAGATTTGAATGAGCCTGCAGTGTGGCAGGACTGTTCTGCTCTAAATGTTTCCTCTGTCTGCAACTTAAATATAAATATAGATGCAGTTTGATGTTCTGTCTGGGTTTTCTCATCTCTCTTCAACTCTGCATTCCTGCCTCAGATTGTGTGTAACCCTATTTGCACAGCTGTCTTGTGAGCTGCTTTGGAAAACTGAGCCAACTTGAATCTTACTTAATTAAATATGAAAATTAATGCCTGTTTATTATTGACTAAAAGACCTTTAATACACAGAGTTCCCTCTCTCCTACCCTCTCTGGAACAAAGACTCAAATAATTTCTACTCCTCTAAGAGAAAGGCTGAGAATGCATGCTTCTGAAACTCCCACGCTGTCATTGAAAAATGTGGGGAGCTGGGGAGAAGTGTGCATGATGGAGTGCAGTCCTGCTGCAGTCCTGCCATGCCTTGGCATTTCTCCCATTTGTAGCTGCTTCCACAGGCCCTTCATTCCTACATTGCCGCTGCTTTCTTCTACCTGTGCTTGCAGAAGAAGTTCTACAATATAAAGGATTTTTTAGGGATTAACATAAATAAATCTCTATACTTAGAATCAGATTGTACCTGAATATGCCTCTATAAAATAGTAAGTCTTTGCCCATATTATTTATATTTGACTTTTATAATTCCATTGCCTTGTTACTAGGCCATTTGTTAAGACCAATTCTTGCCTCAATATGCAATTAGAATTTGAAACACAGCTTTTAAAATTAGGTTTAAGCCACTTATTTTGTGTTTTTATTAATAAAATCTGAGAGTATAACTATACAAGCACCTAATATTCTCCTTTTTTGGCTAGCCAAATCTGTATACTAAAAATAAGAAGTAAAACTTAATACATTTATGTGATTTATTTCCACATTTTAGGCAAAGCTCTTCCCAAATACATGAACCTGTGCATTGGTGAAATTTTCAGGCAGGATCAGGCCTGAAGTTTCGTGTTTGAACATAGTTACAAGCCACATAATATACTGAAAGGTGGAGGCATTACAGGAACACACTCCGGGGTTAAAAATGGTCACTGAGCTGTTCACAGTGCTTAAGCAGTGACAAAGCACTGTTTCAGATGTAGCTCCTTTCCCCTTTCTTTCTCCTTTCTCTCTTTCTTCACCATTTTTCCTGACACTATTTTTTTTTCTCTTGACCTTCTGCACTGCTGATAAACTGAGTTTACAGAGCCTGGATAATTATTTATTTAATTATTATTATTATGCATTGGTTCTATATAGTTCTTTCCATCTCTTTTTCTTCCATCTCTCCTTTTATAAGTATTCAAAGGAAAAATCGAATTTCCAATTGTTACAGAGACTCAACTTTGTGTGAAAACTTACCACCAAATAAACATGAAGGTACCACTTGGGAATAGTGTGGCAATGGAAAACATTAACTTGAACTGATTTTTTTGAGTTCTGTTCCATCAAATCCTTTTCCAGATGTTACCTTGAAGTGATATTGTTGCTGTAATCATGTGTGGGTGTATGTCCTATGGAAAAATCCCACAGTGGTGTGATCTAGTACAGGGGACAAAACATAAATGAGTTGTCACACATAGCCATAGCAATATAGCAATCGTGGAGGGGCAGCATGGAGGCCAGAACACTAGCAGAAAATTTGTATAGTTACAGTGAGGTATTGGTTGGATTTCACACTGCCAACTATTTTGGGGAATATATTTTCAAAAAACATTCACATGAACATAAAAAGTCTTCTGAGGGATAGACTTCAGCACTTAACATTAATGCAAAAGAAAAAAGGCCTTTATCAAAAAAAAGGTTATGGTTGAGAGGGTCTGTACATAACATCATGTACTAAATTTTCTCTAACCTTTCTTTAAGTGCCAAGTCGAATATGCAAGCTACCTATAAAACAAGGAGACTTAGAAATTATCTGTCCATTATCATTAACAGGTCACCACAGCTTAGGGTGGAAAGGCATATTCAGAGCTGAAGGACAATGAACTGTAGCAACTGCAAATACGATACATTGACCAGATCTTAGCAGCCACATACTGATCATTTAAGAACTGTAATTTTTGCCTATTTGGAAAAATAATTCTACATATAGACCAAATAGGTGGTCATATACCTATTGAAATCAGTGGTAAAATATTCCCTAAAATCCAGGATTTGATAATCTTACTGCAAGGAGGTAGTCTGAAGAAATGTCCTATATGTGTAGTTTCTACTTTCACAAGTAGTTTTTGTATGAGGGAACTTGAAATGCTTTTGTACTGATGTTGCATTCTGGAGAAAACCAATAGTGAATGATGTTAAAACTTAATCACTAGAAATGCTGAATAAAAGGGAGTGGTTGTGTTTTGGGGAGTGTTCTTTTGATTAAGGTGGAATGTGCACACACACTTAATTTGATGAAGTTAATGCAAAGAGGGCTTCTGCTGGTGTCTTGAAAATTGCTTAGTTAATAAAGCCTCCCTTTGTGCTCAATGGCTACAAATTTCTCTGGGAAAAAATGAGTATGTCTGCTTTGCAAAACAGCTGAATAGGCAGTAGCTAACTTTTGTCATTGATAGGTAAAACAGCACTCAGGTAATTACACTCGTGTGTGCTCTGTATGTGTGTGCTTCTCAGAGAGGGAGATTGAGTTTTGAGATCAGTGTTTTGAGATCAGGGGTTTCATTGAGGCAGCTTTTGATTTACTATGTGTGTCCTTGAGCCAGAGTAACATAAAAGCTCCAAAATGGTATTTTTCTGGTGAGAGTAAGCCTGCCTTGTTTACTACAAGTTATAAATAAAGCTTTAGTTAAAAATTTTATTCCTTATTTCACAATTCACAGTTCAGTTGCATACAGTTTTAGTAAAAATCAGGAACAACCCACTGAGAGACAAGACACTATCTCAATGTAGAAATATGATGTGATGATAGCACCTAAGAAAATACACAGTAAATAATATGAGTGCTTCTCATTTTTATGGTACATATATGGTGGCACTGATTTTTATTTATTCTATTATTAGTAAACAATTTTTATCGGCTTATTAAGCTAATTTAATTGCAAAGAACACAGTGCAAAACTAATTTTCTATTTAAAAGGTTAATTTGGTTAAGGCACTGGGAATTATATTGAGGTAGGTTTAACTCTGAAATTGCTGCTTCAGATCTGGCCAAAGGTTGAGATCACCCAATATATTTTTCTGAGCTGAGTTCTTGTTCAGGAACCTGAATAGATCAGTAAAATAGATCAGTGGTCCTACCACTATACGTTCTTGCCTATTCTTTGTTTATAGATTTTTATGCTGGTAACTTTTTGTGGGACCTCTGTAAGATCATAAT